ATGGGTCACAGCATCTATTTACCATCAGGTGGACTGTGTGCTCGTTTGTCACTCTTATTCTATAAAAAATACTCTAGATTATCTATTAATACCGGCCTTGGAATGTAACTAATGCTTACGAAACATCCGTCAGGTATACCTCAACGAGATTGTACAACCAGTGGGTGTTGCCAGTAATGACTTAAGATTACGCGAGCTACGGAGTGGTATATGCACGGAGTTTCTCTGCGGGATAAACTTAGAAACGAGGATATTTGCAGTAGAACCAGAGTAACCGACATAGTCCAACGAATTAGCAAGCTGAAGTGGGAATGGGCCGGCCATATAGCTCGAAGAACCTACAATCGATGGGGAAGAAAGGTTCTAGAGTGGCAGCTACGTACCGGTAGGCGAAGTGTAGGGCGACGCCCCACGAGATGGAGTGACGACTTGGTGCGACATGCGAGAGATCGATGTATGCAGGCGGCTCAGGACCGTGCTTTGTGGGGTTGTGGCATTCCTTGGGGGATGCCTATGTTCAGTAGTGGACTTATGAAGGGCTGTAATGATGGTAATGTTGATGATGACCTAATGATTGGCATGATACATATATCTATAAAGAAAACAAATGGTTGATTCAATGTATTTATTCAAGCATTTTGAGCCTTAATTAACACGGCATGTATTAACTTGTTCATTGTAATAAAATAAATAATACGTACATATACAACTAACATTTCTCATTTGCTATTAATTCTAAATCATTAAGTCTGTAACAATATTTCTCAATATTTCTGCAGTTTATACGTCAAAGCATGTTCAAATGCTTTTTTTTATCGCTGGCAACAAATTTACTAATCAGTCCATGTCAAAATATGGCTCCGTGAACTTTCGCGCTAAAGACCTTCAGCTCACCAGATGTCGCTAGTTGACACTGAGATGAAGTTTTTAAGTTACATAATGTCATTTAACTGAGAAGTTAGTTTTAAATAAGAGTTTATCAGTTTATACAGAATTATATTAATACACAAAACAATATCTCAGTAGTTTGCTCTTAAATTTTTGCACATTTTTGTCTCCTTTTTTTAAATTTTTCTACTTTTAGAATATCTGTGGTTTGGTTAACTTATTTTTAATCTAATATATTTTATAAATTAATATAAAATATAACTAATAGTACAGAAAGAAACATTATCTTTTACATTTTTTAAACAAATTAACTTCCTCGCTAAGAAATCTGTCAAATATTACACCTCATTTTTAAGTGACGCCGCTCTGGTGGCAAAAAGTCGTGGACGCCTTAATTTCTTTAAAAATGGCGTCTCAATTAGACAAAAATATACAACACTATTCTAGAATATTTATCTCACATTAACCTATTGTCAAGCGATCGCGTTAAGTTAATTATTTTGCTGACCTTTTTTTGTCAATACATATAATCTGTGAATGATATTTTAAACAGGTTAACACACTAGGAATTACTCATTTACAACTTGACCAAAACAGTTAGGCGCATGACAGGAATGCGGTTTGGCACCCGTACCCCCGCCTCTATCTCCGAGCTTCTCCTAGTGACCAACCACCGCACCGTTCCGAGTTCCCTCGCGTAGTTCTAATGACGTCTTAGCTGTTATGAGCCTAATTGTTTTGGTCACGTCGTATCATAGTGTTATACATGAAATAGTACGCGGACACAAATATTTTTTGTGGCTACAAATATTAATATTATTAAGGAGTGACTTTCCGACGTTAAGGTTTTTAGCACTCCTTTGTCTACTAAATGCATTTTAGTCCAGTACGCAGTAAGCGAGTTACTTTATTTGTAACATTCTTGTTAATTATCAGGAAAAAAAAAAGGATCTAAAGGATCAATTAGGTATCTAATTCGAAAACATGCCTATCGCATTATTAGTGTTAATAAACATGTTTCGTAATGTTGCCTTGGATACCTTTGTTTTTAGTTTTCAACTAGATTTATTATAGTAAAATTCAGTTTTACTTTGCTACTGTACTATTCAATATTTATATATATTGACAGAAAATAAGGTATGTTGGCGTAATTTTTGAATTGATAATCGCGCGGTATTAAAACAGTAGACGTTTCGGGTGCTTTGCAGCATCCACGGTCACGGTGGGAATGAAAAAAATAAAATTAAACACAATGAAAATCCGTAAAATTTGTTACATTTAATGTGTAGTATTCGCGTAAGTATATATAAGAGTAATTAAAAAAAAAGTTTACTGAAATAAGAAAAAATTTATACGCTATGTCACTCCCACAATTAGAACCAATCTAACCATATCTCATATGTTATAATCCACTAAGCCGTTTAGGGTACAGAGCGTGCCAAAGAATATGTACATACATACACTCGAAAAACAGTACCCTCCTTCTGGGGCAATCGGGTAATAAACGTTTAACGAATCAAATATACATTATACAACAAAACAAACGTATCATACACTAGGTGGTACGCGACCTATTGTTATGTATGTAAGCTGCGACCGCTATTGGAAATAAATCAGTGTGTTGCCAGCCACAGAGCGTTTCACTCGTATTCCCCACACACAATATATAACAGTGGCGACGAGCTTACCCTCGTATTAAAAAAAAAATGTCGATCGGTAATTTCGGTATTTTGTCTGTTTTCGACCATAGTGTACAGTCTTGGAAAACGTAAAAGAACAGACTTACACAGTGGTTCATCGCGAACGACATTGATATAGTTATAATGATCCTGCGGGGAATACGAGTGAAACGCTCTGTGGCTGGTAACACACTGATTTATTTCCAATAGCGGTCGCAGCTTACATACATAAACATTCCTCCCCTAATATTTAAGACTAATAAAATATTTTATAATTAATTTTGGGACGCTGACGAGTCACCTGGCGATGTGCCGGAACCTCGTTTTGGTTACTCTCTTCGACCGCATAAACTCATCATTGTCGTCGGAAGAAACGGGTCTTCGGACTCCTCTTGTTATCGTTACCTTTGACGGCGTCTGGCCATGCCATTATTAGGAAGGGATTTATTTCCAATAGCGGTCGCAGCTTACATACATAACACCTATCATTTCTTGTGGGCGGGTATCACACTTTTACCTACTACTGCCGTCAAATACCAGTGCTTGCACTGCTATGTTGCAGTCTGAAGAGTACAGAGAGCCAGTATAATTGGAGACTGTGAAGCATTCCATCTCAGAGGTGACTTCACATCTGAAGCCTTCATTGTTTGAAGTTGGCTGCAGACGTCCACGGACGGCAGTAGCCACTTACCATCAGGACTGTGAGTACATTTGTCACTTCAATGTTATACAAATAATTCTTCGCACGGGTGCCATCTACCGGATCCAGCTATAGCTAAGAAACATCCAGGTGATCCCATAAGCACCCCATGAAAACTTTATTAAAATCGGTCAAGCCGTTAGGAGAAAAAAATTATATATATATATATATATATATATAAAGATATTGTATGAAGACCAAACGAGTTATCAATTCAAAAATTAATAAAAACAAATTAACTGATATTTACTATTTAACCATTTATTACCATACTTTGACGAAAATTATCTTTCAATTTAGCTTAGGACACTTCGCCAATGTTCGATCTCTCTAAACACGCAAAGTTCGCCGACCAAAGTAATACAATAGCGGCCACCATTTTGTACAAGCGTCCGTTCGATATATAACATGGCGGGTATATTATTAACAACGTACAAAATACATAATAATTAGCGAAACTAACACTAGAAAACTAGGATATATAATAATAATAATAATATTAACTAATATAATAATAACTTATGTCGACTTATTTTACGGGGGGGTTGACGGCGTGTGATTATACTTTTTTTTTTTGTGGAAGAGGAGGCAAAGGAACATCTGCAACACCAGTTGTAGCGTCACATTGCGCAGTATTTGGGAGATTCTGGCGACAGTTTAAAACAATAGAAAGTACATGACGATGGTATTTGAAGGTATTAAAACGAACCCAGTAACTTATTAGAGCACTTAGTTATGCATATGATTGTAGCACGAATGTGTTGGCTCGACTGGAGAAGGACCATGCCCTCACAGAATACCACCATGAAATAGCAGCTTATTGCTGCTGTGCTTCGTATGGTGAGTGTAGGGAACCGAAGACCTTTTTTACTGGAAACGAGACATTCCTTTTAAACCCTCAGGGGTGACAACGCATCTGCATTTTGATTCGCAAACGAGGATAGATGTAGATGTCTATGGGTCACAGCAACCACTTACCATCAGGTGGACTGTGTGCTCGTTTGTCACCCTTATTCTATATAAAAAAAGTTTATATTGACTGTATAAAGTAATGAGATAAATTTAACCATCCCTAGAAGTTGATCTAGATATGATAGAAATTGCGTAGCCACGTTCTTAGCGCTTTCACAACAGTTCAGCTCATTCGGAACAGTTCGCTCAATTTCGGCGCTTGCTGCAGTTGGACACTAGTGCAGAAAGCCAAATTGTAGGTCGATTTGCGTGTGATTGTCCTCGCGTTCCTAATATATATATATATATATATATATATATATATATATATATATATATATATATAATAATTAAATAAAAATAAATAATGCTTGGTTGCTGTGCCTATTAACCCACATCTTGTAGTATATGTAACTTTCAGGAAAAAAAAAAACAAAAAAGTATTTGGTAGTATATTACGAGTTTTAACTGTTCTAGGACTGTTTTTTTTTTAATTCAGACTTATTTATAGCATAAGATGTACTGTTACGGCGTTTTTAAAAGATTTTTGTGGTAGCCATTTGAACTGTTCACGAGCGACCTTACAAGGGCTCGAGGGACCAATTTTTAAGGGCTTTTATTATCCCTCCTATCTCTATGAAAACTAAGCTAATAGTCCCTCAATTTTATGAAATATTATGCATTCCCTGGAGGGCTTTACAGCCCACTCCCTCCCTCCCCCAGCCGTCAACCCCCACCAGTGAGCGCTATCACAAAGTTCGCGCGTATGCGCCATAGTACACTCATATGAGTCCGTGCCGCTTCTTATATTCTTCGAGGTTGAGGGATCGCTTGGGACCGGTTTCTTTGACCTTCGCCGCAACCTGCTTCGGTTGGGAGCTGATCGTTTCTGCAAACACAAATAAATATTTATTAATTTTTATTTATTCATTCATTCTTTTTTGTTGTAAAAAATAAAATATTTTTTTTATAGAATAAGGGTGACAAGCGAGAACACAGTTCACCTGATCGTAAGTGGATACTGTGGCCCATAGACATCTACATTTATCTTCGATTAAGAATCAAAATGCAGATGCGTTGTCACCCCTGAGGACTAAGACGGAATGCCTCGCATATATTTGTTTATTATTATAAAAATAAAATACTACCAATGTTATTAACATTACTAATATTCCCTTTAATAACTCTTGGTAAGCTTAAAATGCTAGAAGCAAAGTCACGACCTTTTGAATCTACGGTTCGCATCTTGCCATTAGGCTATTGTCGCTTATAAAATTAAAAAAAAAACAGAGGCAGTCATAAAGACTGTCGACAGAAGTGAAAACTAAAATATATATTCTTATACATGTACACAGGCCGCTGTACTACGCGTCGCTAGTCTGGCGCAAGCGCAATGCGTTACGAGCATTTCGAGGTCATCGGTGACGCGAACACATAGAATTTCCACTACCACTAATTGCTCAACGCGGGTAAAGAAGTTTTCACTTAAATAACAAATAGAAAATCTGTGAACATACGCCTCATCCATAGACTACCTCAAGGGTATATTATGCATATTTGCCATAGCTGCCACGTTTAGCAGGCAGTTGTTAGAAAGTTTGTTTACCTCTGTCGACTCTTACGACACCCCGATATGGGGTAGTGGATATTCTTACACCGCCACTACGCGGTCAAATAATATAAAAAGTTACTAAAAATGGTGTGAAAAGTTAGTTTAAGAAACTAATGAAAGTAAGTATACACAGATAGCTTAATTTTTTTATAGAATAAGGTGATAAGTGAGCACACAGTCCAACTGATGGTAAATGGATGCTGTAGCCCACAAACATCTACATCTATCCTCGATGAAGAATCAAAATGCAGATGCGTTGTCAACCCTGAGGACTACTGCAATGGCTCGTTTCATGTAAAAAAGATCTCCAGTTCTCTACACTCACCATACGAAAAACAGCAACATTAAGCTGCTATTTCACGCTGGTATTCTGTGAGATCTTGGTCCTACACCGATCGAGCCGACCCATTCGTGCTACAACTATAATATAGCTGCAGCGTAGCTCTACCATGTGTAATACTCCATAACTCCTCAGAAATGACGAGGACTTTGCCCAAAAGTGGGACGTGGGCTGTATTTTTGCTTTTAGTAATACAGGCATACGCACTCGCAACGGGCAGGTCCAAATCGATATTAATATCGAAATCATGGAGCGAGTACAGGCTCGCGTTGTCGGTGCTGGTTTTGTCCTTCTTCGGTTTCTCCACTTCGTTTTGTTGCTGAAATTAATAATAAAGAACATTTTAGTAACAATAACTATAAAATTACTAAGTACCTGTTAAGAATGAGAAGAAACACCCTAGACCAGATATACCATAGAACATAGATAAGAAAATAAAAGAAATAACAACGAGATGAGGCCAAAGACTTCTCTATGTACACTACTAAACGCGCTCTCGTATTAATACAATGCGCACTAAGTTACGGTCCATTTACCGTAATTTCTTTAGTCAACTGCGAGCGGGCGAGAACACTTCTTTGTTTTGTAACGAAAACGGCGAACGTTGTTTTCGGCAATCTGACACTGATTTCGTTTAACATGACTAAGAAGACGCTGTCATTATTTTATGTGCGCAATTCGTTAACGTGATTTGAAGTTATTTCAGATAAGTATGTAACATTATTTCGTGTTTGCCGAAAAACAGTAACTGCCGTAATTGAAAAAAAAAATAACTGCGTGACATATTTACCGTGCCAGCTGCCCGCCCAGCCGGCACCTGCGCGATCTACAGCTGTGACCGTTTTTGTTTTAAATTGCCGATTTCGTAGTATATGTAGAGGTCTTTGTACAAGGCAAACTTGCTAGGGCAATCATTCTGCGAGTCTTTATCGGTGTCGTGATTCTGTACGTTGTGGTAATTATTTTAAAACATGACGGTGATGGACATAGACGGACACAACACTCAAAATTATATTACAATAATGTGAACTAACTGCATTCTACAATTTTGTAACTTTTTTGTCAATTGTGTTATTTTTAATTTTCATTAAACAGAAATCTATAGTAAATGTATTTATTTATTTATTTTAGTATGTATGTTACATGAGATAATATTACATACTAAGTCCCTAATGGAGATATGCAAATTTGTTTATTCTTTGAAAGTTTTGTTTTATAAAGTTAACATATATCAAAACCAATAATTAATTCAACAACAACAAAAAATCCATTCCATTATATAAAAATGTCAAAATTGTAATTAAAAAAATAACCAACAAAAAATTAAATTAAACCATATTAAATACCATGTCAGTTAATACCAAATTGACAATTTATCAGCTAGTCTTATAAAAAGTTGTCATTAGTAGTTTAAAAACTCATTTCACCGAGTAAAATGTATTTTGAAGAAGCTACTGGTATAATTTTTTTTTAAATTTTTGTGTAGTAAGATCTCTTTGCGGTAGTTTGTTGAATATTATTTTATCCATCCAGTAACAACTTTCTGTAAAATTTGTATTTAAGACCGTCAATTTGTATTTAGCAATACTGATCTCTTTCAAAGTCACCTCACAAATCTGTCCCAAACTTTCAGGATTGATGATTACAATAGTGACTACCTAACAATCTATTACGGCGTACCACAAGGAAGTATATTAGGTCCCACTCTATTCTTAGTGTTTGTCAACTATCTATGCAACCTTAATATTCCAAATGCGAAGATTATATAATTTGCAGATAATACTGCAACAACATTCGTCTCCGAAACATGGGGTCTGTACTTGAGCAGAAGGCTCAGCTTGACTTTGACCTTATAACAAATTGACTTTATTCCCACACGCTGATCCTTAATGCCTAAAAAACTAAATTTATTACCTATTCAATTAGTTCAGTATCCCAAACAAATTAACCAATATCCTTTAAAACCCACTCTTGCCATAGACATACTCAGGTCTCTTGTCAATGTCCAACATATCCTCTGATGATCATATTAAATACCTAGGTATAGTCTTAGATGAAAACCTAAATTTTAAAAGCTACATTAATCTTCTCACTGTCAGAGTCCGTAAATTAATTTACATATTTAAACGTAACGTAAATTGCTAACCCTACTATTATACGTAAAGTTTATTTTGCCCTAAGATTGTCCATTGTTATATCCTGTATTTCCTGCTGGGGTGGTGCTGCAAAAACTAACCTAAAGAAGCTGGAGGTGGTACGCAGAGCCATTTTGAAAGTGGCTACATTCCGGCCAATCATTTTTCCAACTAATCAGTTGTACAATGACTGGAACGTCCTTAATGTTCGGCAACATTTTATTCTGCAAACAGTTCTTTTGCAGCACCGCAAAACCCCTTACAGGGAAATAAGTGAACGTCGAAAAGACAAAATTTGTTCACTTCCACAAGTTTGCTCATCGTTCACTAAAATATTCTTTTATTTCCTGGGTTCGTCTCTTTACAATAAAACAAGTGAAAAATGTCCTACATATGGGTTATCATTCTATAACTGCAAGGAGACTGTCGCTCTTACCTTCAAAACAAATCTAATGACGAAACAGAAAAATACCTAAACTGATTATAAAATAACTAACCTGACTTACCTATTCTCTCTCACACAAACACACACACGCACGTACACACACACATAAACACGCATTCATTTCTCAATTTTATAATTAATAATTTGAATAACTAAAAATTGTTATAATTGTAGCACTTATAACTGTAAGCTGATTGAAACTGTTACTTCTTAACACAGGTTATTCTGTAACCTAGCTAGGAGTGCAGAGCTACATCCACTAGGTTGGAGGTCATATTTTATAAATGGTACAAACAATGTAATGTCCCACCCATGTACTACAATCACTTCAATATAAAAAAAGTTTATAAGTTATTCTTTAATACGTACGGTTTTGAATTTAAAAAAAAAAAGTTAAAAATCGATATTTCATCAAAACTTTAGGAGATAAGGTGTAAGAACTTTTTTGGGTTAAAATGGAAAACTTAAAAGTTTAGTTCGATTTTTTTTATATCTCAAATTTATCAATTTAAAAAAATATTTTCGGATAAAATATAGCCTAGAATCTAATCTAGACTACATTTTATCCGATCCATTTTTCTAGCCCCTAATACAAACTGGCATTGCTCTCTGTGTTCATGAAATTATTTATATATTATACATTAGTTTTCTGTGCGCGGAACCCTAATTCATTTTCTTAAATAAAAGTAGCAAAGTTAATCCTTATAACATTAGCTATCTGTCAGTGAAAGTCCTGTTAAAAGCCATTTCGGAGATTAGCCGGAACAAACAGACAGACAAAAATTTAAACATTTTTTTTGTTTTTTCATTTAGTAAAAAGCTGTTACTTTGACATTACAGACAGACACTTCATTTTTATTTATATGTATAAATAACAAGAAAAAATAAAAAATGGTAGTAACATACATTTAGAAGCAGCCGTTCCCGTTCCTGTCGTTCTCTCGCCGCCCTTTCCTCTTCTTCTTTCTCCTTCTGCGCATCAACAGCGGCTGCTTCCTCGTTCCTTGCAAACTCCTGTGTTTATATAAAAACAAAAAAAAACTGTAGTACAAATTCTAAGGCACCTGTTTTTTTAACCGACTTCAAAAAAAGGAGGAGGTACTCAAATGGACTGCAGTCTTTATGTGTGTTACCTCAGAACTTTTTTCAAGGTGAACCGATTTTGATGTTTTTTTTTATTTATTTGAAAGTTGGTGCTTCATATAGCTATAGATATAGGTAGAGCCACGCTGCAGCTATATTAGTTGTAGCACGAATGTGTCTGCTCGACCGTGGAAGGACCACGCTCTCACAGAATACCAGAAGAAAATATCAGTTTAATACTGCTGTGTTCATATGATGAGTGTAGAGAACCGGAGACACTTTTTACTGGAAACGAGGCATTCTATCGTACTCCTCAGGGATGACAACACATTTGATGTCACCCCTGAGGAATGCATTTTGATGAGAGGATTACAAGGATAGATGTGGATGTTTATGAGCCACAGTATCCACTTACAATCAGGCAGACAGTGTCCGCTTTATTTAAAAAAATTTACATCAAAGCATGTTTATCCACGTTTTAATTTATTAAACTAGTTATGATATGGCACACAGAATAAAATTAAAAGATAGGAAAGCTAAAATCTAGATATAGCATAATCTAGCTCTAGTCAATTTTAACTAAGCAGAGAACCCGATGTTATAATCAAAATGATTTACAACAAATGATCGTTATTTACAAAAACCACCGTATATCACTTGTCACCCTTATCCTATAAAAAAAAAAAGATAGGTTTCCTACTCGGGAACTTAGTAAATATCAATATACACACACCTGACTTCGTCCGCCTTGATGTGACTTGAAATTCATGACGGGTTTTGTATGCCGCCTTGTGAACGGGTCGTCTTGCTTCTTGCCTTTGTTTGCTTTCACCTGATAAAATATCACAAAGCTGAAATTAGTATTTCATTCTATCTTGTTTGTATTTCATCTCTAGTTAGATATACTAGATATCTGTTATACATACAGGGTTATTTTGCAATAACCGGCCAAATATCCAGAAAAAGTTTAGTATAAATAATATAATTAAATTAATTTAAAAAAAATCTCAATAATTATGTCCTCTTTATCTTTTAAATTCAAAATGCGTTGTAGTACTCATTTAACTGATTTTACTGCGCACGCACACATTCGTAAGGGTCGATCGGTAGGCAAAAACATTGTTGCTCATAAATCACATTCAATTTGGGATAATTTCAAATAGAAGTAGACGCCATATTTACTCGTATTTTCAAAAACTGCAATAACAGTATATCATTATTTATATATTTGAATGTCAGTTTAAAATTTGGCTACTCTTTGAAAAATAACCCTGTATATATAATATTATCTATTTTATTATCAACTAGCTGTTCTCAGCGACTTCGCCCGCTTGTAATTTAGGGTTTTAATAATGTTACGCGGAACCCTAATTCTTTTTCTCAAATATAAGTAGCCTAAGTTACTGCTTCATAACATCAGCTATCTGCCAGTGAAAGTCCCGTCGAAATCGGTGTAGCCGTTTCGGAGATTAGCCGGAACAAACAGACAGACAGAGAGACAAAAATGGTAAAATTGTGTTTTAGTTAAAAGTGTCGTATATACTTTCATATGCATTTAGTAAAAAGCTGTTATTTTAACATTACACACAAACACTTGTATTTTTTTTATATGTATAGATATTTTATTGTTTTGAGTTGTCATCAGGAAGATGCATCTGTTCATCTTCAGTTTTATTTTTCCTCTTTCGCCTTCTTACGTCACCCACTGGATGATATGTCGTAGTGGATTTCCTTATGCCAAAACTTAATACATAGTAAATTTAATACATCTCCACATAGTATAAAACAAAGTCGCCTCCCGCCGTCTGTACGCTTACATCTTTTAAACTACGCAACGGATTTTCAGATTTGAATGATCGGTCGGTCAGAATGATACAATAAGAAGGTTTATATGTATAATACATGCATATTATATACTAGCTGTTCCCCGCGACTTCGTTCGCGTGTTAGGGTTTTTATGTTTCTGCGCGGAACCCTGATTCTTTTTCTAAAATAAAAGTAGCCTATGTTACTCCTTATGAAATCAGCTATCTGCCAGTGAAAGTCCCGTCAAAATCGGTCCAGCCGTTTCGGAGATTACCCGGAACAAACAGACAGACAGACAGACAGACAAAAATTTTTTAAATTGTATTTTATTTATAGGTATCGTATTTACTTTCATATGCATTTAGTAAAAAACTGTAATTTTGACATTACAAACAGACACTTCAATTTTATTTATTTGTATAGATTACGTAGTTCTTTTGTCCGTGCGTATGTGACTGAACTCCTCCAAAACGGCTGGACCAATATAGATAAAAAAAAAATTGTTTTTTTTTTTGTTTTTTTTTTAAACGTTACCCCCACACTAGGATTTTCTCCTGTGTCGTGGAGGCAGTTTACAAACATAAATTGCACGAAGACAAACATCCAGACCCGGAACAATTATTTGTAGGCCAGCCACTGGCTAAGCTACTGCGCCACGGAGCTGTCATCGATTTTGTGTGTGTGATTAAGTTGATGAGAGAAGGTTTAGATTCACAATTGGACCCGGTAGGTGGCGTTGTTGTCGAGATCTTGGGAAATCTACCGTGCGAAGCCGGGGCGGTTCGCTAGTATAAATTAATAAAATTCAAATGGAGTTATAATTCTTTAACAAACACGGTATTTATTTACAATAGAAATTTGAGTGACAGTAAAAGAAATATTAAGTTTTTTCTCACCTCCTCCATTATGGCCTTCTCCGCAGTCTCCACGTTGAGCTTCCGGTTCCTGTTATTAATGTAGGATATGCTCTGGATGGAGGATGTCCTCGTCTTGTCCAGCTGACTCGCTCTGTCTTCCAACTCTTGAATTTTGGCGTTCAATTCCATTACTAATTCATCGTCGCCTCTGAAATAAAAATTATTACTTAGTTGATCTTATTTACAAATAATTTAGGTAACAAGGTTGACTTGCAAACTTTTTTGTGTGTGGTCGAGTGAGGCCCTGGATGGTTTAGGTTCACATTGGACCCGGGACAGATAGCTAGTTTTTTTTTTATTGAATAGGAGTGACAAACAAACACAAAGTCCACCTGATGGTAAGTGGGTGTTGTGGCCCATAGACATCAACATTTATCCTCGATTAAGAATCAAAATGTAGATGCGTTGTCATCACTGGGGACTGAGATGGATTGCCTCATTTCCAGTAAAAAGGGTCTTCGGTTCTCTACACTCACCATACGAAACATAGCAGTATTAAGCTATTATTTTACGTTACTCCGGTCGAACCGACCCATTCTTGTTACAACCATAATATAGCTGCAGCATGGCTCTACCACTTTGAAAAATAGTTTATAATAAACAAATTGTTACCTATATAGTTAGTTACAGAAAAAAAAAACAAATGTCCATCAGTGAAAAGCAAGCTATCTTACAAGTAAGACACATTTGGCAATAATATAATAATTAACTTTCGTGAAACTACTCACCTCAATTGTGCTACGTCTCTCTCTTTCATCAGTTGCGTCTTCTTCATCGCATAGTTGGTGGGGTGAGCTCGGAACCTTTCCTTCTCTGCTACAATCTTCTCTATGTCTTCTTCCTGTAAATAGAGATTAAATATTTATTTATTTGTTGTAGTTCACTGGTCTGCACTTCTGGGTAAGGTTTCATAAAAAGATTTTTTATAAAACCTTACCCAGATTTGTGACAGTTTGTAGTAGTGTCTTTTTTACGTGGTAGAGCCATGCTGCAGCTATATTACTGGTATACTTGTAGCACGAATGAGTGAGAAAACCGGAGACTCGTTTTACTGGAAACGAGGCATTCCATCTTAGTCCTCACGGCTGACAACGAATCTGCATTTTAATTCGTCATCGAGGATAGATGTAGATGTCTATGGGCCACAGCAACTATTTACCATCAAGTGGACTGTGCTCATTAGTCACTTATCCTATTAAAAAAAAAAACTATAATTACATGTATACCAACAGTAGCATAATATTAACTCACTTTAAATTCATACATGAGTGCCTCTTTCACCTCGCTGATCTTGCCCCTAACAAAGTCCATGGTGGGTGGTTTCTTGTTCGCGTCCTTTATGGCTTTGTACCATTTCTGGAATTCATTGTCTGTGAACTCCTGTCAAAGAGAATTTATAACATATATGAGACAATTAGCCAATAGTAATTGCCCACTTTATGGAGTGACGATTTGATAACATATGCAGGAAGTTGATGGATGCAGCTGACTCAGGACTGTGTTTTGTGGCATTACTTGGGGGAAGCCTATGTTCAGCTGTGGACTTGTGAAGGGCTGTAATGATGATGATGATGATGATGAATTGTTTCGCCAATAACGCCATTCACGATATTTAGTGTAAACATATTTAAGAAGTAATTGAAAATGAAATTGGACCATATTTTGCGGAAATGATCTAACCCACAACGTGGCCAAAATAATAGTTAATAGGCTCTTTTTTTTAAGTTTATTTCAAAGTATGAAAGACTTCTGAAAAATAACAAGTAATCCAAAAATCTACATTCATTTTTTTTATAACATGTTTAAATTATAATACAGGTAGTTACAAGAATAAATTTACAAAACTGAATAACTGTATATTTTTGTGACTTGAAACATTTATGCACAGCACGGTCCAATTGTAAAAAATAAAATAAAACCCTCCAGAGTTACTTGCGGGTTTTTCTCTAAGAAAAATCTTGTTTCTGAACCGCTGTAGATTTTATCATTCATTAGAGCTTTAAACAATACTAAATTTAATAAAAACTTTTGTCTTTCATTTAAAACATTGCCGAATTTAAAAAATATCGATAACCAATACCGATACATAAAAGACTATACATCAACACATAAAAGCCCAGCATTGGGCATGAGAGGCACCCGATTGCAGTCCCGTCTCCCATAGTCTTCTTTATGACACCCACAGGATGCGTATATGCCGTAGTGGCATCGATCACTAATAAAAAACTAGATACACAATCGGTGACAAAAAAATCGTTACCGAATGAGCGTCCACTGGAACATTTGGGTGTGCTTTAAATTTGTACGTAGCTTTGCGAATACAACTTTAGGCCAATGCATTTAAGGTTGAATTTACATTAATGTATATTTATTTCAACTAGAATTGCAGTTTAAAAGTTTTTTATTAGTCATCGATGGGTAATATAGTAACCATGTATGGTGGTGTAAGAATATCCGCTACTCCAGATCGTCCCGTGGGTGTCGTAAGAAGACAGAAGGAAACAAATCAGGAGATGGGCAGCAGCGTCTTCCTAATAACATCTTAAAATAAAAATAAAAAACTGCTGTAGCCAACCCGCTTGCCAAGCGAGGCAACTATGGCAAAATCTCTCCATGAGGCAATCTATGGGGGAGGTCTATGTTCAACAGTGGAATTTTATAGGCTGTAACCGTAGCGTGATAATTGTGGGGCACGTGCGGCACCTGGTTGCTGACGAACTCGAGTCGGAACACGCGGTCTTGTGTCCCGTGGCGCAACTTCAGCCCCTTGTTGGTGCGCGTGTTGCCCAAGTTGTACACCTTCGCGGTTTCGTACACGTCAATGATTTCCGCCACCTGAAACAAACAGACACACGATGTAACCGCTGTCGAAAAATTGACGTATCATTATGTTGTAGTCGATTATTAACCCCTGAAGAAAACGTAGGGGTGTTATAAGTTTGTAGTGTGTATCTGTGTGTCCTGGCATCATAGCTCCTGTATGGATCTTGATTAAGTTTTTTCGTTTGACAAGTATCTTAATCGAGTGTTCTTAGCTGTGTTTCAAGAAAATCTGTTCAGACATTTGAAGATCATCAGTTCTTTTTGTTTCGTGGGTTTGTAACTTTCGAGATCCAAAAATCAACCGTGCTAAGTCGGGGCGGATCGCTAGTATAAAATATAACGAATATTTAGAAAAGTGTAGTAATTTATATGCATTAATTTCTACATTTTAAAGTCAAATTAATTTTTCCCGCTATGAAACCCGACAAATATTTCACTTCATTGCAAGTGGCGCCGCCCTAGTGACAAAAAAGTGGCGGGTGTCCTGTTTGTGAGTCTTACAACACTTTTTTTTAAATACTAGTAATGTTATTAAACATTACTAATATTCCCTTTAACCACTTCTTGTAAGCTTAAGATGCTTGTGTTAGAAATAATTCACGACAGTAGTGGAACGGCGGATTCGAACCCACGACCTTTCGAGTTCGCGGTCCGCGCCCTGCCATTAGGCTACTGACGCCTCATACTTCAGACTCTTAGACTAAAATACAACACTAAAACAACCTAGGCTATAATACTAGAACACTCACCCTGTACACGGGATTTCCGTTGTTATTGCCGATTCCGATGCGCACGAAGCAGCCTTGGACCACACGAGAAAAGAACGGCAAATGCACCAGCCTTTCCAATTTAAACCTGGAGACAAAATACATATACTGGTAACATTATTTAAAACATAATTTGTGTGACGAGCTGGCAATCAAATATTACCAAAAAAAATTACCGGCGAAGTGCGAGTCGGACTCGTGTATGAAGGGTTCCGCACCATCGTAATACACATTTCTAGTAGGGGAGCTCCCTTTAATTTTTAATTTATTTTAATTTATTATTTGTCGTTATAGCAGCAACATAAATACACATTCTGTGCAAATTTCAACTGTTTACCTATCACGGATCATGAGATATAGCCCGCTGACAAACAAACAGAGAGATGGACAGACGAACAGTGGAGGCTTAGTAATAGGGTCCTGTTGGATTCCCTTTGGGTACGGAACCCTAAAAACAAAGCAGCTTTGTAATATATAGCAAACTTTGACGTTGGCTCAAGTTTCTACTGCGGGAGACCTTGTGACAACTCACAAGTGATAAAACTATTATTTTCCCAATAGTTACATAAATATATTTTACTTTTGTTTAATGACTACGTAAGATAATCCACCACCAAATATCGTCCCGTGGGTGTCGTAAGAGGCGACAGAGGGAAATGATACAAAAGATAGGCAGCAGCAATATACTGTTGCGCGCCACTATTAACGTTTTGTACATAGCAACACTTGTTACCACTAGCGCCCTCTTGTGTCGAGTAGCAGAACTAGGAGAGTCAAGATCCTTCTAGAAATTTCTGGACCGATATGTACTCGAACATTCTAGTCGTTTCCACTGTAGAAGGTTCTGGAAACTATCTGAGGCCCTATATGAGGCCGGTATAGACCACGACCGGGTCAGTATTAAATTGGCAGCGAATACTTCGAAGCGATACAACTGCGAACTTAAGTGATCAGTAGAACAATTGTGTTTTATTATTAGGTGATCTTAAGTTGTAATTAGTGTTCTGCAATCGTCAATTTTGGTAATTCACTCGGCAGTTTTAGTTGTCTCGAACCCCAAGCTCGTAACAATACTGATGACAACTCAATAAAAAAACTGCAGTTGTCATCCCAAGCACGGCAACTTAGGCAAATGGCCATTCGCGTGGAAAGTAAAATATTTAAGTATTTCGCGGACCATATTTAAGCTCTTGCGGACCACTGGTTAGGAATCACTGATGTATAACAATAATGGTGTACAATGAAGAATATATGTATGATTTAATTCATTCATACATCATTCAAAAAGCAACGTTTCGGCTGTTCTTACAAATGAACGAGACAAAGTGATGAAACTGTTCTTTACCTGCTTAACCTAAGCTTGTTCATCTGTTCCCTTGTGTCGGCTAATTTTATTTCAACTTCTTCTCGCTTTTTCTCTTCTTCTTCCGCGCCGGATGATGAGGAACTGGTGGAGCTACGGCGACCTGAAAATAAGTCATTCTATTATCATTCAAATTTATGACGACTTTTTGATTGTGGCGCAATGGGATCTCGAGTTCGAACGTGTAATATCTTTCAGACTAGTCTCTAGATTTCTTTGCTTAGAGGTCTCTAGATTTCTTTGCTTAGAGGGGGCGTTAAAATCCCTACATGATGTTATCTTGGGGAGAGGAGTGATATTTTGTTAGTCGAAATTTAACATTAGAAATGAAATTGCATCTCGAATACCAAATGGTTTTCTTCATTCTATAACGTACATTTCGATTTACATCTTTTTTTATAAATGTTTATTGTTTATTAAAATTTTATAATCTTAAATGTGATTTCAAATGTTATATTCAATTTTAAATGTTATAAATAATAATTATACTACATTCTACCCGCGTATTAATCTTATATTAATTATTTCGGAATATAAAAAATGATTATTTGATTTTCAAGCAACAATAACGTTGAATGATTTTTTTTTATTCAATAGATAATAATTCCGGTCACAATAGCTTAATATTATTTTACTCAAACTAACAACATTTCATAACTTTAAAAATCCCGCGTAATTTCCATGTTGTTCAAAAACTGGCGGCTTTAACATAACTCTCTTTTACTTCATTATTTTTATATATTTTTATTGAATAACTTTTTTTAGATTATTTAAAACTTACTTTTAATTTTTTTTAATAGGATAAGGGTGGGTGACAATCGAGCACACAGTCCACCTGATGGTAAGTGGTTGCTGCGGCCCATAGACATTTACATTTATCCTAGATTAGGAATCAAAATACAGATGCGTTGTCACCCGTGAGGACTGAGATGGAATGCTTCGTTTCCAGTAAAAAGGGTCTCCGGTTCTCTACACTCACCATACGAAACACAGCAGTATTAAGCTGCTATTTTACGCTGGTATTCTGTGAGAGCGTGGTCCTTCCCCGGTCGAGCCGACCCATTCGTGTTACAACTATACCAGAAATATAGCTGCAGTATGGCTCTACCACGTATAAAAACAATATATACATAATTATAATAACAATATTCAAAAGACTAAATACTATCTCAACTAGTTGTCTTATCAGTTGTCAGTAACAATAAAAGAGTACAGCCTAAATTATCTGTTAAAAAATAAAAATCTTTGTTTTATCGTCAAACCGTGTTAGTGTAATTCTGATCCCTTTTCTACAGACTTCAAAAAGGAGACGGTACTCAATTCGACTGTATGTTTTTTGTGTGTTACCTCATAACTATTTACTGAGTGAACCGATTTCGATGATTCTTTTTTTTATTTGAAAGCTGGTGCTTCACAGCCACATGCATGACCTAAACTAGTATGACCAAATTGCAAGCTCTTTTTTCTACCGACTTCAAAAAGGAGGAGGTACTCCATTCGATTGTATGTTTTTTTTATGTGTGTTACCTCATAACTTAGTTCTATTTGAACCAATTTCGATTATTCTTTTTTTATTTGAAAGCTGGTGCTTCTCATGTGGTCCCATATAAATTTGATCAAGGTCTAACCAATAGTTTTTGAGTTATTCTTAATAATTTATACTGAAGTCTGTTGTACAAATTTTATAATTTTAAATTATCTAACATTTTATTATTCTGAAAAACGAGATAGGATCTTAAGTAAGAAGAGGGAAGGGGGTTTCGAGAAATCTTATGTACCCTTACATAGGGGGATGGGGGGGGGGGGGGGGGTCAAAATGAGTGAAATCATCCTTATGTTATTAATGAATGACCCCTTAGGGTTTTGTCTGGGTATGTACCACCATCTTTCATATTATATCTGCCACCAGATAGCAGTGTTTGCACTGCTGTGTTCCACTTTGAAGGGTATAGAGCCGGTATAATTACATGCTGAGGTGTTCCATGTCGGTCCTCAGATGTGTGGACGCATCTGTAGTCTCGTTTGAAGTTGGCTGTAGGCGTCAAAGGACTGCAGTAACCACTTACCATAATGTGGGCTGTTAAGTTCTACTGACACTGACTGAACTGACGTCAGTTTAAATAATGAGGTTCAACTCACCCTGTGATTTGTTGTCTTCGGAGTCGGATCCGGAGTCATCGGAATAGATATCCGAAGCCTTCAACTTGACACTCTGCTTGCTCGTGGCACCGATTATCTCCGCATCTGCATCCTGCGAGACAAGACATAACTAAAGAATCCCTGACAATGACTTCTGTCAGTTTGACCATGGTTTCTCGAGGGGTATTTATAAGAATATTGAAGACTAGCTGTTCCCCGCGATTTCATCCGCGTTTAATTTAGGGTTTTAATTTTTTGCGCGGAACCCTGATTATTTTTCTAAAATTAAAGTAGCCTAAGTTACTCCTTATAAAATCAGCTATCTGCACGTGAAAGTCCCATCAAAAACGGTCCAGCCATTTCGGAGATTAGCCTCAACAAACACAAAAACTTTTAAAAATTGTGTTTTTATTATAAGTACTGTATATTTCATATGCATTTAGTGAAACGCTGTTATTTTGACATTACAAACAGACACTCCAATTTTATTTATTTGTATAGATACATTCCATACTATACAGTTTCATCGAAGTTACTTACTCAGCTACAATTATGAGTGTGCGTGAGTTTTTATAACGCGGTCACTGTGCTGCTGTGTTGCAATGTTCAGTGTCGAACACAAGCGTTTAATATTCCTTAGTTAATTTTAAAAAAAGGAATTGGTTTACTATTGGCGAAGATATCGCATAATATGTATAAAACAAAACACAAGTAAATTTTGAACCTCGTTTTTTTAAAGTCCGCTAAAAGTCACTTAATGAGGGCTAATAATTTTCTGCTCACCAGATGTCGCTAGTTGACAGTGAGGTATAGTTTTTTGTTACACAATATAATTTAATTGAGAAGTTGGTTTTTAATAAAAGTTTATCAGTTTCTAGAGTATTATGTTGCTACACAAAACAATGCGTCAGTTGTTTGCTCTTTAATTTTATGCACATTAAAATGTTTTTTAATGTTTCTACTTTTATGCTTATCTGTGGCTTGGTTTATATATTTTTAATCTTAATAATATAAAATATAGCTAATAATACAGAAAGAAACAATAGCCTTTACATTTTACCTGCTATGAAATCTGTCAAATATTATACCTCACTTTCTAGTGGCGTCGCCCTGGTGGCAAAAAAGTCGTGGATGTCCTCATTGTTGAGTTATGTCATTCCTATTTCTAGTTCTCTATTAGCGTTGCAGTTTATTTAAAGTTGTCTTTTACTTAAGAGATTGCAGAAGATAAGCGAAAGCATGGTGGCCAGCATCTGCGCCTTAAGGACGTTTTCAAAAGACACAGTGAGTGTTTGGAGAACTTGCTGCAAAAAGGTCATCGTGGCCACCTCAAAACTCTAGACTTAAAACGCCATTTGCACAAAGAGATAGACCTAAATACTCCAATGCGTACACTTACAATTCATTTGGCCAACTCTACTGTCATGCAAACCAAAAGGGTATTTAACACTCACTGTCCGATTTTCAGACAATTTATAAGAGAATAGCAATTAACTATACAGGGTTATTTTGCAATAACCGGCCAAATTTGCAGAGAAGGTTCAGGATAAGTATTATAGGCAAATGGTGATGAAAAATTAATTAAAAAAATCTTAAACATTCTGTCCTTTACATCTTTTAAATTTAAAATGTGTGGTAATGCATTATTTTAACTGATTTTACTGCGCACGCAAACATTCGTAAGGGTCGATCGGTAGGCAAAAAGTTGTTGCCCATAAATTGCATTCAATTTGGGATGATTTGAAATAAAAGTATAAGCCTTATTTACTCGTATTTTCAAAAACTGGAATAACGGTATTTCATTATTTATATATTTGAACTTAAGTTTAAAATTTAGCTACTCTTTGAAAAATAACCCTGTATGTAGTACACAGGACAGCGAATGGCTTAAGACCAAGTTCGATCTAGTAAGCCATATCTGGGCATGTGATAGGCAAAATTTACAGTTCTTAGGGTCGCTTATCATCGAAATCGATGGAGAGGACTATATTAGCATTGACGATTGTAGCAAGTCAACTTTGCTAACATCGGTGATTCCATTAATAATCTTGGCAGTTGTGGTACTAGGCGTCGCAAGTGCAACGTTCGAATCCCTATGAGATACATTAGGCACGGACTACTTATTTGATAGTGTAAATTTTTTTTAATTTTTTATATAAAACGAAATAACAAAAAATCTACAATCCACCTGATGGTAAGTGGCTACTGCCGTCCGTGGACATCTGCAGACAACTTCGAACAAAGAAGGCCTCAAATGCGAAGTCACCTCTGAGGACTAAGATGGAATGCTTCACAGTGTGTAATTATATTGGCTCTATTTATCCTTCAGACTGGAACACACCAGTTCAAGCACTGCTATTTGAAGACTAAAATGTGTAAGAGAGTGGTACTAACCAAGACGACCATATCATAATGAGGCTGATTCAGAAACTATTTTTGTTTCACAGAAGAGGGCCATTAGAGCTATTTACAATCTAAAACCGAGAGAGTCACTTAGAGATAAATTTAAAGAAATAAATTTATTAACTTTGGCCTCTTAGTATATTTACATAACTCTTACTCTCTCTCTCTCTCTCTCTCTATTACCAAGTTTAAATGTTTTACTAAGTTGAAACTGAATAAAAAGGCTTATTATAGGATAAATAAATACATGGTTGATAATATCTCCTGGGAATGAGGTGATCGCTTTCAAGCTGTTTCCAAAATAAATTTTATACTTATATACTTGGTTCTTCCCAGGACAGAGGTATTTTTTCGAACCAGTGGTAAAGTAAAAAATGACTTTCAATAAGAATTGCACATGTGATCTATATTGAATAAAAAATTATTCTATTCTATTCTATCTTTTAATAATGTTGTATTGAGAAAACTCTAGAAGTTTTAGATCCATTACGGCCTATCAAAGGTTCACTGCTGAACCTAGGCCTCACCCATTGACTGCTGATATTTGCCATAGTTGCTATGCTTGGGGTTTGCAACTACCGTTGTTATTATTTAGTTGTTATTAAAAAGATGCTGCTGCACATCTCCTGATCTGTTTTCCTCTATCGCCTATGACGACACCCACGGGACGATATGGGATACTACATACATTTACACCGCCTCTACAAGGTTTAGTTTGAAATCAACTTACGTCATCTTCATCTTTGTCCTTCTCTTCTTCCATCCTCTTCCTCTGCTTGTGTTCGGTCCTCGTGGCCTTCGCGTCTCTTTGTGCTCTCAGGGCCGCCATGGCGTTTTGCCTGCGGTCGTCCACATTCCTCTTACGTTCTGTCTTAGCGCCAAACAAAGGCGATGCGGATCTCTCTGACGCTTCTGTGTAATAAAATCTCCCGTTAATCTTTCTCTTTATTTGGATTATCTTTGCAAACGTGGCCACGCTGTAAATATATTATGATTGTAGCATGAATGGGTCGGCTCGACCGGGGAAGGACACCCTCTCACAGAATACCAGTGTAAAATAGCAGCTTAGTGCTGTCATATGATGAGTGTAGAGAACCGGAGACCCTTTTTACTGGAAACGGCATTCCACCTTAGTCCTCAGGGGTGAGAACACGGAGCAAATACAAAGAGGAGGTGTTGTAATTAGATTTCACTATATAACAATGCGTGACAATTTGCGGGGTGAGGAGATGTTAAACTCCGCCACCTTAACTACTTTCCATCTACCGATAAATAATAAATCTACTCGCATCGTTTCATATCGATGTTCCAATGTAGGTTAGCTACCTTGACGATAGATGGCGGCCTGTTCACAAAATGATTATAAAAAGTATAAAAATAATATTTTTGCGATTAAAAATTCTTTAGGACTGAATGCAAAACAAATTTCAGCACCTTCGTATGATTATTTTACCAATACTGAGCTCTACATACCTTTATAATCTTAGTTCCCACGACACAATGTCGCCATCTAGTGTCGAATATATTTAATTATATTTGAAAGCCGACGCAAAGAGATTTTTCTAGAACTATTTTAATAAATTAGGTATAAAATTATTTACAAATGAAGTGTGATGCCATCCATAGCATCAGAGCGTCTATATTAATAGTTTTTACACGATAAAACAACACTGTGATGACGTCAGGACCTAGTTAGAATCACAGTGAATTCTTCCGGCCGTCTCCTCTTTGTATATGCTCCGTTGGTGAGAACGCATCTGCATTTTGATTCTTAATTTTTCTACCGACTTTAAAATGGAGATGGTACTGAATTCGACTGTATGTTTTTTTAATACTTTTTTATACTGGGTGAACCGATTTCGATGATTCTGTTTTATTTGAAAACTAGTGCTTCACATGTGGTCCCATATAAATTTGATTAAGGTCTGACCAATAGTTTTTGAGTTATTCTTAATAATTTATATTGAAGTCAGTTGCACAAAATTTTTAATGTTAAATTATTATTTTATTTGTTTGTTTTTTGCTTTCGTTGAGTTGAATTCGGGATAAACGTAGATGTCTATGGGCCACAGTACCCACTTACCATAAGGTGGACTGTGTGCACATTTGTCTCCCTATGCAATAAAAAAAATACAATGTAGCAATTAGACCGCCTTTTGTTTGCACTCAATATTTGTTTATTTTTGATATGTTAATACGTCCTTGGTGTACAATAAATTGGTAATTATTGTATTGTATTGTAAGAAAAGATATGATAATCGTGAAAGGAAGAGAAGGGAATAAAGGATTCCATCCCATTCCACCCCATAAGTAACATGAATTACAGCCTTTCAAAGTTCACCGCTAAACCATAGACCTACCCCCAAAAATTGCCTCAACCGTAGTTTTTTTTTTATAGTTATTTTTCGGATTAGGCTTCCGCCATGGATTACCATTATAGGGGGGATATAGTTGGCAACTGCTGTTTTTTATTATTTTGTACTATTATCAAAAGATGCTACTTCTCATCTCTTGCTGCAGCTTCCTTCTGTCGCCTCTTGCGACATCCACGGGACGATATGGGGTAGTGGATATTCTTACAACACCACTACATGGTTAAACTATTACACCAAACTAAACTCAGAGTTTATGAAGACAAATGTTTTTTTTTATGTCATCCAGGTCGGGACGTCCATCACCTCAGTTTCTCCATGACCATGGGAAACAGGAATTAGTTTTATTCAACATTCAATGCCCTCAAGTATGGAAAAGTTGGTTGGCATAATGGTGCAAGATGCATGTAGTAGACATCACCCACTCCGCTTTTCAAAAAAACCTATAATATCCTTCTTCACATTTGCCTTGGATAGACGGAGAACCAAGATCGAATCTACCGCCCCATAATAATCACAATAGAACTATCACCATTGTTTTTTTTTTTATAGAATAAGGGTAACAAATGGGTATACAGTCCTGATGGAAAGGGGATGCTGTGTCCCATAGACATCTCTAAGGACTAAGATGGAATGATTTGTTTCCAGTAAAAAGGGTTTCTTCATTAATTCATTCACGATATAAAACACAGGAGTAATAAGCTGCCATTTTACGCCGGTATTCTGTAAGAGGGAGGTCATTCCCCGGTTGAGTTAACATAAATGCAGCATGGCTCTACCATATATAAAAATCACATATATAATTCTTACCATTATCTTTCTGGTCGTCTAATATCTCACCAGGACTCTGGGGAGGTTCTTCTTCTTTCTCCGGCTCCTTTGCTGGTTCCATTTCCGTTTCTGTAAACAAGTAGAAATTCACTAATTTATTCATTACTTTTAATTTTCGACCGTCTGTGTAACATATCAGTGACCTCGGGGAAAATATATCACGTAGCCCCCTTAAGGGGCGCCACGAAACCATCCATGTGATTATACGTTCACTTAAATTCAATGAGCTCATTCACTAGTTTTTCTGCCACCAGTATTGTACAACTTAGGAAAAAGGTGAAATATTTGATAGATTTCATAGCGGAGGAGAAATTAATTTATTATAAAAGTATTAAGATTAATGTTTTTTTTTCTCTGAAATATTAGTTGACGTCGTTGTAGTTAACGTCAAATTTGTGTGAGTACTGTTACCTTTACTTTTTATTTTTTAAGTATACATTGACACCCAGCGAAGATCAGCGTGGAAGTACTCTGTTAGTACCAAGACTACGCTGAGTTGGATACCATTTTAGTCACAATTTATCAAATTTAAAGATGCTATTGTTGTAAGCAAATTGCTATAATGAGTTACTAAATAAACTTACTACCCGTGCGGATAAAGAATGGGATTAAAAATGACGATTCATCGAGCTAGTACTGTCAGCATACATATACAGAAACCAAAAATGAAAACAACACTAATAACGTTAAATTACAAATAACGATTAATATTAATTAAAATATTGTTGGTTTTTTGGAAATAGACTGATTAGTATATTATATCGATTGAATTTTGTAATAAAATAAAATTATTAACATAATATAATAATAGGGAAATAGGACGTCAATCAATTTACAAATAAGTAATGTAATCATACAGACTACAAATAAAACATTTGAACAATAAAAATAAAAGTATACTGAACGGTTTCGTTCTGTTAGTTGGGTCGGATGTTAAAAGCAATAAAAGGCAAAAAACGTTTATTGTAAACGTAATTTTTTTTTGTAATCGTTACTGGCGGGTTTTTCTTTCTTACCGTGTGGCCTTTCAGGTCGATCCATACGTTCGGGAGAACGGTTTCTCTCCGCCCCAGTATGGGGCGCTGCGCGTTTCTCTCTCTGTCTTTGTTCCCGTCGTCTTCTTCTCGCGTCTCTCCTTCTCGCTAACTCTCCAGGAGACGCTCCTCGCTCGGCAGCTGATCTCTTAGCAAGGCGCAGCTTACGTTCTATCTCCCATCTGAAATTAATTTCATTATTAATGCTTAGTTACTATAATTTAAAAAGTGAATGTTTTGTTTTCCCTTATAACCCATTTTTGAATGTAATTTTGTATTGTTGTACATTAAAAACATAATTCAATTTTAAAATTCTATATCAACATGACTGCAGTGTGGCTCTACCACATAATGTTATATTAATGTTAGCCGTGTAGTGGCGGTCAAGAATATCCACTACCCCATATCCTCCCGTGGGTGTCGTAAAAGGCGACAAAGGGAAACAGGCAGGAGATGGGCAGCAGCATCTTCCTGATAATAGCCAAAATTACAATAAAAAAAACTGCGGTTGCCAACCCGCTCGCCAAGCGTGGCAACTATGGCAAATACCCCCCAATGAATAAAGCAACAAACAGACGGCCCCCAGTCCCCGGCGGCCCCGCTATTCCTGGCCACGGTGGCGACCATGGTAACGGCGGGGCAGGGGGTGCTAAGAATCTCCGGTGGAGGTTCGGTTGCCACCTTAGACGACTCGACCTGGCAACGTACAACGCACGCACCCTGAGGACTGATGAGAAGATCGTGGAGCTGGAAGAAGAGATAGACAAGTTGCGCTGGCATATTATAGGATTATCCGAAGTCCGAAGAGAGGGGGAGGACACGGTAATCCTCGAATCCGGCAACTTGCTCTATCACCGGGAGGGCGACCATCTGTCCCAAGGAGGTGTCGGATTTATCGTCCACAAGTCTCTCGTTAACAACGTTGTAAAAATCGGGAGTGTGTCGACGAGGGTTGCGTACCTTATACTCAGAATCACCAAACGGTATTCGCTGAAGGTCATACAGGTTTACGCACCAACCTCGGCACACCCCGATGAGGAGGTGGAGGAAATGTATGAGGATATCTCTAGAGCCATGCATTCCTCCAAAACCCAATATACGGTGTTAATGGGAGACTTCAATGCAAAACTAGGCACAAGAGAGAACGGCGAGCTGAAAGTAGGGAAATTTGGAATAGGGCAACGGAACCCAAGGGGCCAGCAGCTGGCCGACTTCATGGAGAAAGAGGGACTCTTTATAATGAACTCTTTCTTCCAGAAGCTGCCCCACAGGAAGTGGACCTGGTCGAGTCCCGACGGTTCGACAAAAAATGAGATTGACTTCATTATGACGACCAGACGACAACTGTTCAGTGATGTCTCCGTGATCGCGAGGGTGAAAACTGGTAGCGATCACCGAATGGTTAGAGGCACACTGAACCTAAACGTTAAGTTGGAGAGGTCTCGTCTAATGAAGTCAACGCTCCGTCCCCCTCGTGCTCTGTTCCAAAGTCCCGAAACCTTTCAGCTCGAGTTACAAAACCGTTTTCAGTGCCTGGAAGACTGCAATGAAGTGGACGATATGAATGACAAGCTCGTGGAAACTGTCCATGCGGTCGGAGCTAAGTTCTGCAAGACCCGCCGCAGAAGAACACAAAAACTCTCCGATCACACTCTTAATCTCATGGCTGTTAGACGGGAGATGAAGCTACATTCTTCAACAGACTTGACAGCATACAGGCATCTGAACAGACAGATCTCCAAATGCATGCGGCGGGACTTACGCAACTTCAATACAGCTCGCATTGAAGAAGCGATCGAGCGGAACCAAGGCTCCAAAGTCTTTGCCAGAGATCTGTCTGCCAGAAAGAGCCAACTGTCAAAGCTGAAGACGGAGTGTGGCAGCATCGTTTCCGGGACACCTGAGATTTTGAGTGAGATTGAGAGGTTCTATGGGCAGCTGTACACATCATCGTTGGAGCCACACGCAAGTGTGAGTAACGATCCAAGAGCGAGTCTCATCCGACACTATTCCGAAGATATCCCGGACGTCAGTCTGAGCGAGATTAGAATGGCTCTCCAGCACCTTAAAAACGGTAAGGCCCCAGGCGAGGATGGAATTACAGCGGAGCTTCTGAAAGCGGGTGGAAGACCGGTACTTGAAGTCCTTCAGAAGCTCTTTAATTCCGTTCTCCATGGTGGCATTACACCGGAGGCGTGGAGCAGAAGTGCGGTGGTCTTGTTCTTCAAGAAAGGTGACAACGCTCTCTTGAAGAACTACAGACCGATTTCCCTTCTGAGCCGCGTCTACGTGCTGTTTTCGAGAGTCATTACGAATCGTCTCGCGCGCAGACTTGACGACTTCCAGCCTCCCGAACAAGCCGGTTTCCGATAGGGCTTTAGCACCATAGACCACATACATACCCTTCGGCAAATTGTACAGAAGTCCGAAGAGTACAACTTGCCACTATGTCTGGCGTATGTGGACTATGAGAAAGCCTTTGATTCCGTCGAAATTTGGGCGGTGCTGCAGTCCCTTCAGCGGTGCCAAGTTGACTGTCGGTATATCGAAGTGTTGAAGTGCTTGTACAGTAGGGCTACGATGGCTATCCGAGTACAGAACCAGAGTACGAAACCTATCCAATTGCAGAGAGGTGTAAGACAGGGTGACGTCATATCCCCGAAACTCTTCACCGCTGCATTGGAAGACGTTTTCAAGCTTCTGGACTGGAAAGGATACGGTATCAACCTCAATGGCGAGTACATCACTCACCTTCGATTTGCCGACGATATAGTCCTTATGGCAGAATCGCTGGAGGACCTAACCACTATGCTCAATGACCTCAATAGTGTTTCCCAACGGATAGGTCTTAAGATGAACATGGACAAAACAAAGATCATGTTTAATGTCCATGTTACACCTATGCCGGTAGTTGTTGGGAGCACTAAGCTCGAAGTTGTTGACGAGTATGTTTACCTGGGACAAATAGTCCGACTAGGTAAGTCCAACTTCGACCGAGAGGTCAATCGACGGATTCAACTCGGCTGGGCAGCGTTCGGGAAGCTACGACACATCTTCTCGTCAGACATACCTCAAAACCTTAAAACGAAATTGTACAACCAGTGCGTGTTGCCAGTGATGACTTACGGAACTGAGACGTGGTCCTTCACTGCTGGCCGTATGAGGAAGCTCAAGGTCGCTCAGCGAGCTATGGAGAGGGCTATGCTCGGAGTTTCTCTGCGTGATAAACTTAGGAATGAGGATATCCGCAGTAGAACCAGAGTAACCGACATAGCCCAACGGATTAGTAAGCTGAAGTGGCAGTGGGCCGGCCATATAGCTCGAAGAACCGACAACCGATGGGGAAGAAAGGTTCTCGAGTGGCAGCCTCGTACCGGTAGGCGAAGTGTAGGGCGTCCCCCCACGAGATGGAGTGACGACCTGGTAAGACATGCAGGAAGTCGATGGATGCAGGTGGCTCAGGACCGTGCTTTGTGGCATTCTTTGGGGGAGGCCTATGTTCAGCAGTGGACTTGTGAAGGGCTGTAATGATGATGATGATGATGAATGTTGTGTAAAATGAATGTTGTAGAAATGCGGTGTTTAGGAAGATTACAACCGACTGAATTATAGGGTGAGAATATGTGATATAGTTGTTAACCACACCAATCGATCGATCATCGATCGATGCCATTGATCAACGTCGATCGATTGGTGTGGTATCTTTTTTTTTTTTATAGGAGAGGGGGCAAACGAGCATGCGGCTCACCTGATGGTAAGTGACTACCGCCGCCCATGAACAACTGCAACACCAGGGAGGGAATTGCAGATGCGTTGCCGGCCTTTTAAAAAGGAGTACGCTCTTTTCTTGAAGGTATCTTTAGCTGATCGACGGATACTGGTCGATAAAATGTTATTCAATCGATCGACAATTAATCTATGTGGTTGTGGGCTCATCATCAGTATCTTTAAAATGTATTCAGAAGAGGACACGTTATTTTTGGCCAGTTGTTCGTATTGGAACGAAGTTCCTTATCGGACGGTACGGGTTTGGCGGATGGGAGCTAGGCGACAAAAAGTGTAAGATTTTTTCGTCATTACCCCTTGTGTCATAGAGTAGACGGCCTTGGCGGCGAAATAAGGAAGTGAAATGGAATAATATCCATCTCCCTCGCACTTTTTCTTATCTTGCCATGAAAGAAATATTATTTTATTTCAAATGACGCTTCATTTTAATAGACGCTAGTAATTTATTTATTTGTATTTGTTAACCAATAATATAATACCCGTAGGTAATATATTATTGATTATCAATAATAATATACTACGCAAGGAACTTCGTTCCAACCCAGTGTTCCACGACACTCACGCATTTTTATTATTATTACAGAGACAAAAGCAGAAGACTTTGAATGCGACCGTTTTTTTTAGGGCAGAGATAGCTTATTTAATCTAGACGACATTTTAAATAGTGATCAGTGGAGCGAGGTAGGTTCTCGAATAATCAAGCAGCTTGACCTACGTCGACTAATCTATTCTACCATCGATTGATACCAACGATCGATCGGTGTTGTAGAAACTATCGATCGACGTCGATTAATCCATTCTACCATCGATCGATCGACAATCGATCGATTGGTGTGCTTACACTCTAAGAGAAAAGTATGGTTTGTGAAAATATAACACTGCATTTAAGATTAGGAAAGTAATCATTATTAGCTAAAAGATAGCTCACCGTGTTTTCATCAGATCTCTCCGCTCTATACGTTTGAATATCTCCTGTTCTCTTTCTTTTTCGGACATCGCCGCAAGTCGCGCTCTGTCCTCTTCATCTCCCATTAAATTTTCGTCGTATCTGAAAGGGACAATCATAGAATAGAATAGAATATTTTTTATTCAATATAGATCACATGTGTAATTCTTATTGAAAGTCATTTTTTACTAAAGTGGTAAACACTGGTTTGAAAAAACCCTCTGTCCTGGAAAAAACCAGCAAGAAACTCAGCGGAACTTTTTTTTAAAGTAAATTTTACATGACTGGTTGTATAAACTATTTAAAAAATTTATTTTAGAAACAGCTTGAAAGCGACCACCTCATTCCCAGTGGTTATTAACAACCATGTATTTGACGGCACCTGCACCGTTGTAGGTGCGGTGGCGTCGGTCTAGCTAGACAGAATTATTGTAAACGACACGTGTACCGCACACCTGCGGCATTGCACCTGCGTTGCCACCCGTCCTGCTTGTATAAAACGGACGGAGCGGCCGCCGTTAAGACAGTCTTGGCTCTGACGTGGAACGGTGCGTTTGTCGTATTCCGTTACTAGTTTATCCTCGACTCGTTGGATAATTAATTCGTATAAACGAATTAATTATTATTCCTAACTTCAAAATTAATCTCTGTACTATACCCATTATACTTCCTACATCAGAAGTGGGATAAAGTCCCTGTTACTGCCCACCTGCTATAACATTTGAATAGTGTAAGGGTTATTACGTTGGTGAAATACTATAATGCGCCTCGCGTTTTGTTTTTGTGTTCAATTTCTTAAATCAAGTTTGCTGTCGTATTTACGACATTGACGAATCATTAAAGTGTAGAGTAAAAGTTTAAAGTGAAATGTTTTAAGTCAAAAGTTAAATCTTTTTATTCAATTTATAGTAGAAAGTACCCGCAAGTAATTTCATTATTTCTTAACGTACCCAAATATGATAACAAATGTCGAAAGAAATGTTGGAGATATTCTGAATGAGTTATAGTTTGCATTCAGTGGAAGTTTAACTTGCTCAAGTAATGTTATAATTTTATACACGGGGTGTGATTTACATGGCCTAGTTTTAAAGTTCAAAATGTTTAAACGATGTACCGAAAAAAAGAAGATGATTACTTTAACGTGCGATGACTTAAAAACACTAAGTAGTATTTTTGTGATCTAATGTGATGATAAGTGTTACAGTTTACTCCGAGCATTACGTAGTCGACTAAACTTGGAATAGTTTAGTGGAAAGCGTGGAGCTGTAGCGCTCGCTTTTGAGTATGCTGTCGGCTTATGACGCCGCAGACTTATTATTTGTCGCTGCTACTGATCACCATTAGATACATGAGGAAAGTAAATTTATCCTAAACATTGGCTCAGAAACTATTTTGTAAGAATGAGTGTTTACATTTTTAATTTGTTGCGAAACATGCCGGAACACCGAAGTATAACTGATGAAAGTGAAGTAGAGCCAATTAGTTCTGACATTGAAGAGAGTATTTAAGTTTACATGAGGATCGGACCATACCAGAGGTTGTCGTGTAGCCGCAGCTCAGTATTTGGTGCCCTAGAAAGGCGAATGGTGTACCAAGAGTAGTGCTGCATTTCTTGAAATCAAGTTCCGACTGAGTATTTTTAATGTTTTCTTTTATGTGTTACAGTAGCACGTGTGATGTGATTACAAGTGCGTGAGTGTGTGCCTTGCTGGTCGTAACGGACTGCCAGGTCCAGCTGTAACATGGCCTGGTTTCGGCAGATGCGTATGCGCGTATACGCAGGCGCCATCCCGGAGCGCGCGTATGCTGTACATGGCGATGCCTCGGAAGTCGTGTACTCTGTACGCGTGGGAGTCACACTGTGTGCGCGGAAGTCGTATGCTGTGTGCACGGTAATGTTTTCTGAACATGTATTAGGCTCTGTTCTGGCAGGCGCTGTGCTGGTTCACATTTTTAATGTGGTTCACGTAGTTAACGTGGGATCTCGCAAGTTCAAGTAGGAGTATGTGTCAGATACTTCGTATGAAGACCTATGTTTACTTGTGAAAGCGAAGTGCTTTATTATAGTCCAAGGTATGAGAACGTATTTCTGTTTTAGGGCCTCGTATGTGTGATAGTTGAGAGAACAGGCAACTGTGTATGTTGTCCTTATAGTTAACAATTTGTTTTTCACGCAGATCGTGATGACTACAACCCCGACGATGCCTGTAAGCCCTCAGGTGCTCCTGCTGCTCTCGTTTTGTTGTAATTTGATAGTTCACGCGAAACATGATTATCATTTGCTATATTTTGAAGTTCAAAACTTTTAAGGCTTGTACTACAATAAAGGATTAACACGCTATCAATTAAAAATAATAAGTGACTTTTTTGTGTTCTAATGTGTTGATCAGTGTTGCAGTTTGCTCCGAATATTGTGTCGTTGACAAGATTGGGGTTTGATTTCGAGGGATTCGTAGAAGTCTCTACAACAATGATCAATGAGGAAGACGTTGTGATGGCTAATCGAACATGGTCAGGTACGGCCGAACGCTGGTTAGATTGAGCCTACACCGCTACAGTCGGTTACTTATCGGCTGATCTTACGGCAGGGCAATTCAAGCGGCCGCCGAACAAATGGTGCTTTGGCGCTGTAAATGGACGGCTTTCATAGATTTTGCGCAGTTTCCTCCTTCGCTTCGAAATATGTTGTGGTATCTATCCCTACACATAGTTTCCATTTTTTTTTGCAATGTTTTCAAATGTCGTGTAGTTGCCGTTTCTTAAGAGAATATGTGATGAATTTCGGAAGCTCTGAATACCATGGTTCGCAATACATTTATCTCGATTTCTTTTAATTTTGCAAAGCAGTGCAACGATTCGCTAGCGCTAGTACGGCGCGACGGCTTGCTGCCGCGAATGTGGCACGATCGCAGCAGAACGAACCAGGAGGTAGCCATATCCGCGCGTTCCAGACTTAAATAAAGTCTGGGATGGTCGACCGTTGTAATATTTAACAAGAGTTAATATCTGTTAGCAAGTGGTGATAACTGATAGACCGTATGCTGTTCACTGTCAACCGCACGAGGACATGCGACAGTCAGAGGTAGCCGTGTCTGTGCATCTAGAAAATACTAGAGACGTTGCAACACTCTAGCGAAGTAATTATTCCAGTGCAGGAAAGGAACATGAAGTTGCAGGGAGGCTGGTCTGTGCTGCACTGGGATATGCGTCGAGTTGCTGTTGGTTTACATACTTAGGTGTTATCGTGTGTCACTACTTCCCTCACGATACACTTTTGTATGATTGTGACGGGGACATGTTTGCGGTATGGTTGGTCTGTAACTGTTCTATACTGAATTGAAAAAAAAGAGAGTAAGAAAAAAAATAGTTCTTACTATCATTGCAGGGCTTTGTGCCGGTCCAATGATATGGCTATAGGGAATAGTTATTCCGGACTAGCGAAAACAGTACTTGAAAAAAAAAAGATAAAATAGAAAAAGCTACAGACTAATCATTCCGATCTAACATAAAGATGATTAAAGTTTTGTAGGGCTTACTGCCGGAACAAAACTGACTGTCACCCAAGTCTGAAGGGTCAATATAGACCGGACCAGACGCTGTTTTGTCAGGATAATCGAACGATGTTTTACAGATTACAGTTGTTACAGATAACTAACATTGTGATGGAGCGCGTGCGAGGACGCACGCATGTCAGTATGGCCGTGACGGCACCTGCACCGTTGTAGGTGCGGTGGCGTCGGTCTAGCTAGACAGAATTATTGTAAACGACACGTGTACCGCACACCTGCGGCATTGCACCTGCGTTGCCACCCGTCCTGCTTGTATAAAACGGACGGAGCGGCCGCCGTTAAGACAGTCTTGGCTCTGACGTGGAACGGTGCGTTTGTCGTATTCCGTTACTAGTTTATCCTCGACTCGTTGGATAATTAATTCGTATAAACGAATTAATTATTATTCCTAACTTCAAAATTAGTCTCTGTACTATACCCATTATACTTCCTACATATTCATTTATATTGTAATAATACTTTTTATACAGTTTTAATGTAATAAAATACTTAAAGTTGGTAATAGAGAGACCTTGTACATTTTCTAATAAAATTAATAATTCATCTGTTCATCCATTAGAGTCCATCAAGTCCACTGCTGAGCATAGGCGTCCCAATACATCGCCTCATAATGGAGATATTTGCCATAGTTGCCATGCTTACCAAGCTGGTAACATAGTAAGAATACAAGTATCTTTATCTATGTCTGAGGATCTCTTACGTGGTAGAGCCATGCTGCAGCTATATTAGTAGTATAGTTGTAGCTCGAATGGGTCGGCTCGACCGGGGAAGGACCACGCTCTCACAGAATACCAGCGTAAAATAGCAGCTTGACTGCTGTGTTTCGTATGATGAGTGTAGAGAACCGGAGACCCTTTTTACTGGAAAAGAGGCATTCCATCTTAGTCCTCACGAGTGACAACGCATATGCATTTCGATTCGTTATTGAGGATAGATGTGGATGTCTATGGTTCACAGCACCACTTACCATCAGGTGGACTGTGTGCTCGTTTGTCATTCTATCCTATAAGAAAAAAGAAATTACTAATATTAGGCATATGTGATATCCTCCATCATACATCAGGGGTTGCGACGGTCTTTTTCGTGCCTGCCTGTGCCCAGATGTGGGACGGGTTGTTACATAATTAACTAAAAAATCAAGCAGTGATTTTAGTTGACAGAAGCGCATCAACTGTCGTTTTATAACCTTTGGAAAAGAAACAAAATATACATTAAAAAAAATATTTAACTCACCCATCATCGAATTCCTCTTCTGAGTCGATAGAATCATTGTCTGATGAATGTGATGATACTTCACCTGAAAAAAATATTTACTATCACTATAATTGGCAGGCGGTCAGGCAAACACAGTTTTTAATACTGTTGAGTTGAGTTTTAATCTTGCTGTTACAGTTTCTGTCTGTTGTCTCTAACAACACTCACATCATCATCATTATTACAACCTAGTGGTGAGTGAACTAAGCAATTATATGATATGATTTTTTTTCTTCAAATTTAAACGTGACCACCCTACAGGAATAGCCTATTTAACAAAAAAAAAAGAATTACTTATATTGGTCTAGACGTTTCCGAAAAATTGGAATGGAAACATACATAAACACATACCAATATAGAACCACCTCTTTTTGTGGATTTGGTTAAAAATGTGTTATGGGTCCTTTTGGCAAATTATTCAAACATACATATACATATGAAGTAGAAACAAAGTTTCTTGTACTAGAATACATGATAGGACTACTTTTCTGTCTTAGGCTGAGTTCTATATATCGTACTCTTACTTTGCTCAGACTTAGCTTACGAAAAACTTAGCTGAGTATATACTTAGCATAATCTTTGATTCTGAATTTATAGTTGTATCGGGCTAAGATCAAGCTAATATAAATTTAGTCAGTGGTAGAGCCACGTGGCAGCTTTTGCTGTTGCACGGATGGGCTGGCTCGAACCAGGGTGGTACCACGACCTCACAGAAAACCAGCGTGAAGTAGAGGTTTACCTCTGCGTTTCGCTTGGTGAGTGCAGGTGGCCGGAGGCCCTTTTTACTGGAAATAAGGCATTCCATCTTAGTCCTCACGGGTGACAACGCATCTACATTTTGTTTTGTAATAGAGGATAGATGTAGATATCTATGGGCCGCAGCAACCACTTACCATCAGGTGGACTGTGTGCTCGTTTGTCACCCTTACCCTATAAAAAAAAGAAGCTTATGCTAAGGCCCAGACAGTCCAAATATTAATGGATGCTTCATTCCACGCATTATGTTTTTGATTTTACTGTATAAAATTAAAAAATATATATATATATATATATATATATATATTTAAAATCGAAAAAGTCCAAATTGTATTTTATAAATTATTTAATATTACATGAAATAGACAACGGTCGTATGAGAACGGGAACGGATGAGATGAGTGCAGTCAGAAAAAAAGAAAAAAATGAGATTTTAAGAAATTCGAAATAAGATTGAAATTACGTAAATAGAAAATGGATTAATGCTATTTAATACAAGAAGACGGCCTCAAACTACCTATTTATTGTTATAATTAATTTGAGTAACATAAAAACAACAATTTGAAAGTAATACAGTGGTTTTGAATAATATCCTGAGTTTTACGTAAGTAGTCGATATTGTTGACTTAGGCTTTTCTAAGTGTGCACTCGGCACAACTTCAAAGTTAGCTCTGTACATACCGACATTGTCTTAGATCGAAAGTAAAGTCTTAGCAAAGTCAAAGTACGGACTATAAATCTCAGCCATAGGAATTAAGTTACTACTCTACTCGAAATGGACTGTAACTTAGAGTCTGGGTAGGTACCACCCTTATGACTATTTCTGCAGGTAAGCAGCGGTTTAGAGTCTGGTTAGATACCCTTCTATTTCTGCAGGTAAGCAGCAGTTCATGCACTGCTCTGTTCCAGAGGGTGGAGAGTCAGTATAATTACAGGCTGTAAAGCATTCCATCATGGTTCACAGATGACGACGTATCTGTAGCTTTCTTTGTTTGAAGTGGTAGGTGCCCATTGGATGCAGTAGCCACTTACGATCAAGAGGATTGTAAATTCGTTTCGGACTTTAATTTTGTACAAAAATACATCTTCTGTGGTAAATATATTTCAACAAAATTAAAATACCTTCTTCCGGTTCACTATAAATATCTTTTTTCTTGACAGATCCAGCGCTGTCAGTACTCTTTCTAACTTCACTCTTTTTCGGTTCTGGTTTCTTCTTGACCTCCTCTGTGTGGTCTGATGAGGACTTCCTCGACGCTCGCGGCAGTTCCTTGTTTTTGGAAGTATCACTTTTAGCGTCACTGTTGGAGTCCGAGTCTGATGATGAAGACGATTTTTCTAAAACAGTTAAAATAACGTAAGTTTACATGGTTCAAAATATCGAAGGCAAGTTATACGAAGTTGGTAGAGTAATTTTTTGAAATTCTTTCTGGCCATAAAATATTTTTAGAAAATTTCGGATCAACAAAGCTTTTCTTTCAGGGTGTTGGTAAAACAAAAATCTTACAAGATTCCTTGGCGAACTGGGGTTCTAGGTTCCCTTATATTAAATACCTGTACCCACGGAGCAAATACGAAGAGAAGACGGCCTAAGCAACTATGCACTGTGATTCTAACTAGGTCCTGACGTCATCATAGTGGGCGTGGCTAGTAATTTGTTAGTATATTGTCAGCGCTCGTCCTGTGCGAAAATCACAAATCGGTGTATTTTCGTAGTATTAAGAAGAAAAGGATGAAGTGAAATTTGTTTTGCATTCAGCCCTAAACAAATTTTAATCGCCAAAATATTATTTTTATAATTTTTATAATCATTTTCTGAACAGGCCGCCATCTATCGTCAAAGTAGATAAACTACATTGCAACATCGATATAGAACGATGCGAGTAGTTTTTATTTATCGGTAGATGGAAAATAGTTAAGTGGGCGGGGCTTAACAACCCCTCACCCCCCAAATTGTCACGCGTTGTTACATAGTGAAATCTAATTACAAAACCTCCTCTTTGTATTTGCTCCGTGCCTGTACCAACGTGAAGTTCGTGCTTACATGTGGAGTTGTAGAAACTAGCCCGGATCAATCAATCAACCAAATGAGGTTCTTCTGACCAGAGAAGAAACAGCAAGCCAGTCTATCAAATGTTCAGTAGAGAAGTTTGGCGTGGCGCCTCCAAAACTACCATGATTCAGTTGGAGAGGGGACAGAGGACAGTTCTGAAGTTGATGTTAAAAATGCCCTACCAGTACCCTACGGCCGATCTGTATCGGGATACCGAGGTTTTGAGTGTAGGTCAATTATATATCCTATCCGCAGTATTAAAAACACATGGGCAAGTAACTCAGTCGCCCAATTACAACCACTTAATCACTAAACATATATTTAAAATCCCAACTCCAGCTGTCAAATCTGTTTTTGCGCAACGCCTCCCGCAGTTTTTAATAATAATAATAATAAGCCTTTTTTATTCTGAACTTCTTGGTTAAATATGAATACATGTTCTTGTTTGTTATAATATGTCCCGAAGCTCAGTTTGCCTTTTGGCATAGGCCTCCTCTCACATTTAGATTATTTAGACCCCCCACCCTCCCGCAGTTTTTACATCCGCCTATCTATAACAAATTAATTAAAGTCTGCGACATCAAAAGCTAAACTATAATGACACTGAAAACTTTGTTAAATCATAAATAATATCAAATCATATCATACAATCTTTATGTTTTACACCAAATAAAAATTGTATCAATATTTTATAAAGGAATAATAAATAAATAATAATGTAAGGGGCAAAAAGTTAAAAGCTATTGTATTAATTAAAGAAAATTAAGAAGAAATCTTTTAAATTTTTTTGGTTTGGAATACTTTTCTAGTTTTAAATACGTAATTAAAACTGATAACCATACTCCTGGTCCCTACTATACAAGCTATGCCTAGTTTGTCGTCCGCCAGTTAATTTTTTATATGTAATAAGAATTGTTGATAGACTAGCATGCAGTTTCTTTTTAATTTTGGTTGTTATTAGAAAGACACTGCTGCCTCTCTTCTGGTTTGTTTTCCTCTTCAGATAGCCATGGGATAAGTAACTTTTTAATTCACTATTCAAATACCATGTTGACAATTAAAAAATCGTCATATATATAAAAATTCAACTGTAAGCGACTGTGACAATTTTATTTATGCTTATTGATTTATCACCTTTATACAATATTAAGATTAACTTTGAAAAGTTTTTATATTAATTACTAGCGACCCACCCTTATTTTGCCCCTATTTGATTATAAATAATACTTATTGAAAGTCACACTTTTGTTTAATTTACCACTGGTTTGGAAAAAAATACCTCTGTCCCAGGAAGAACCAGCAAGAAACCCAGCGGGACTTTTTCCCTCCTAAGCTTAATGAAAACCAGTAATTTCAATATAGCGAGGATGGACACTTCAATTTTAATAAATGTTATTGCAATTAAGCATAATAAAACTTGTTATTGGATGATAGATTTTTAAGCGGTGACGACACAGCCTAAATATTTTATTTTTATAGAATATTTTATAGTGACAAAGTTCACCTGACGGTAAGCAGATGCTGTATCCCATAGACATCTATACCTATCTCTGATTAAGAACAAAAATGCAGATGTGTTATCATCCCTGAGGACTAAGATGCTTCGTTTGCAATAAAAAGGGTTGTACGTAAGAAACACAGCATATGTATTATATGATATTAATAAACCTAAAATTTACCATCTTTTTTATCATCGTCGTCCCAATCGGACTCACTGTCTGAGGATTTGTTGTTTGATTTTGATTGAGGTGGAGATTCTCCAGGTTTCTTTTTCTTCTTTGCCAAATTTAGGAATTGCTGTAACAATGAAGTTATTGCTTAGAACACAGCCAAGCAAAATTCATTAAATTCCATCTAAATCTAACCAAAATGCTATGCTAAGTATCTGACCACCATTAACAACTAACAATATGCTTGTCTGAAAATAAAATTTGTGAACCTGAACGTCTTTAAAATATAATTCATAGAGAAAGTCCAGAGTAGTTTACTTAACAGTTTTAGGAAAAAGATATTAACAAGTGATAAAATTATAAATTTTGTACAACCAACTTCATTATAAATAAAATGATAACATCATCAATGTACTCGCTGTCAATTAAATACGCATTATTAAGGATAGCTCAAAAGCACCAGCTTTCAAATAAGAAAAGAATCATCAAAATCTGTTTACCAAGAAAAATGTTCTAAGGCAACACACAAAAAAAATACAATCGAATTGAGTACCCCTCCTTTTTTGAAATCAGTTAAAATTAAACTACATGTTGCGACTGATTATTCAAAAAATGGGTAGCATTACAAGTTTATCAGCATTACATTAAACGTGGAGTTCGATAGTACCCCGGGTAATTAATTATAAAGTAATTATAGAAGAAATTCTTTCTATTGGAGTAGCACAATGTAATTTAATAAGCTTTCATCTGTAGTAGATATCAACCTATTTTCTATTTCTATTAAAATCTGTAAAAAAAACCAATGAACAGAGAATTTTTCACTCACAGCCACATGACCTAAACTAGCATGACCAAATTGCAAACTCTTTTTTCTACCGACTTCAAAAAGGAGAAGGTACTCAATTCGACTGTATGTTTGTTTTATGTGTTACCTCATAACTTAGTTCTATTTGAACCGACTTCGATTATTCTGAATTGATACGATGATTATTTGAAAGCTGGTGCTTCTCATGTGGTCCCATATAAATTTGATCAAGGTCTGACCAATAGTTTTTGAGTTAACCATAATAATATATATTGAAGTCGGTTGTACACATTTTTTAATTTTATATTATATTTATTTGTTAATGTTTTGGCATTTATTTTGTTATTGTTTTTGTGAGTAGTTTAAACAATCCCTGGAATATTTTAAATTTGCATAAAGTTGGATGAAAGTAATACGTGTATGCATGTAATTAGCAATTCTTATCACGATTTTGTAACTTACGGACATATTAGACTGTAAAGCTTCCTAAAATGAATAAATAAATATAATTATATAATTTGTAGACATAATTTTAATTATCAGTCAGGGGGTTCTCATGCTGGTCTACCTTTCCGGTGATCCTGGTATGGAATACGGGTACGCGACCCCGGCTCCCCGAGCTACTGTTATTCTCATACCTTTCCTGCCGAGATAACAGTATCCTTACACCTATGCTCCTACCCCCAAACTTCTTTTTCCTTTTCCCAAAATGGTAGCTTCCTCTACCAGCAATAGCATACCCAAAGAGGGTTGGTGTCAGGCAGGCGGCCGACTGTAAAACTTTTGCCAAATCCCATGCAGTAAATGAATAGTACGAGTTGTGGGACATATGACAGGGCTAGGGCGTACCCCGCAGGCGACGCGCAGGGGCAGCACCCGGCTCCTGTGGGAAGTGGGCAAGGGTTGTCGCACCTTACGGAGCGGGTGCGACGTAAGAGGCGAGCCCGGAGAGAGAAGAATGTCAGAGTGAGGTTTGCAAGCTGGAATATAGGTACGATGACTGGAAGAGGAAGAGAGTTAGCAGATGTTTTGAAACGACGAAGAGTGAATGTTGCCTGTTTGCAGGAAACAAAATGGAAGGGCAATAAAGCAAGAGAGATTGGGGAGGGATACAAGTTTTATTATTGTGGAAGTGATGGGAAGCGAAATGGAGTAGGAGTTGTGTTAGATAGTGGAATGAAAGAACGAGTGACAGATGTGAAAAGAGTAAATGACAGAATGATAGCTGTTAAATTAATGATTGAAAACAAAGTAGTGAAGGTTGTAAGTGTGTATGCTCCGCAAACAGGCTGTGAAGAGAGTGTGAAAGAGAAGTTTTGGGAGGAATTTGATTGTATGATGATGGGAATACCTGAGCGTGAGGATGTTTATATGGGAGGAGATTTTAATGGACATGTAGGGAGAGTGAATGACGGGTATGAAAGAGTACACGGTGGATGGGGGTACGGAGTGCGGAACCGTGAGGGGGAAGTTCTTCTGCAAGCAGCATGTGCTTTCGACCTGGCTGTAGTAAACACGTGGTTCCAAAAACGAGATCAGCATCTTGTTACTTATAAAAGTGGCCACCACGCGACACAGATCGACTATCTTCTGATAAGACGGAACCAAATCAAGAGTGTAAAAAACTGCAAAGTGCTTCCAGGTGAAGACTTAGTATCCCAGCACCGAATTCTGCTGGCTGACATCTGCTTAACTGTTCGCCTCAACAAACATAAGGATCGTCCCCCACCCAAAATAAAGTGGCATTTGCTGCATAAGGAGGGGTATGCAAGTGAATTTAGAGAGCTAGTTGTAAACAAGATGATAGAGATGGGTGATATGGAAGGAATGAGTGTGAATGAGTGCTGGAAGGAAATGGCTGATTGTATCAGAAGTGTGGCAAGGAAGGTGTTAGGAGAAACAAAAGGGAAGCGTATGATAGATAAGGATGGGTGGTGGTGGTGTGAAAGTATTAGAGAAGTTTTGAGAGAAAAGAAAAATGCCTTTAAAGAATGGCAGAGCGTAGAAGACCAGAATGAATCCATAAAAGAAAGTAAGAGAGGGGCGTATAAAGAATGTAAGAAGAGAGCGAAGAAGGAAGTTGCTATTTGTAGGGCAGAGGCGCACGATAAATTATATCGGTCCCTTGAAAGCCCCGAAGGTCAAAAACGACTTTTTCAAATTGCAAGAGCGAGAGAAAGGAATGGAAGAGATGTTTCACATGTAAAATGTATAAAAGATGATTCTGGAAGGATTTTGACTGACGATGAAAGTATAAAGAAGCGATGGAAGGAGTATTTTGAGAAATTGATGAATGAGGAGAATGAATGGAATGGTATGCTTGAAAACCCACCAGTGAATATGGGCTTAGTGAGAGAAATTAGTGTGGAAGAAGTAAAAATGGCTGTTAGGAATATGAAGAATGGGAAGGCGGTCGGCCCAGATGGAATACCAGTAGAAGTGTGGAAGTTGCTGAGGGCGGATGGATGGAAGTGGTTGAGTTTATTTTTCGGTAAATTGTTGCAGGAAGAACAAATACCTGAGGAATGGTGCAGTAGTATACTGGTTCCCATTTTTAAAAACAAAGGAGACGTTCAAAACTGCAGCAGTTACCGGGGAATAAAGCTCATGTCACATACGATGAAAGTCTGGGAAAGAGTAATAGAGAGAAGAATGAGAGAAGAGTGTGAGATAACACAAAACCAGTTCGGATTCATGCCCGGTCGAGGTACGACAGATGCCATTTTCGCATTACGCCAATTGTGCGAAAAGTACAAGCGCGTGCATAAAGATCTGCACATGGTTTTTGTCGACCTTGAAAAGGCGTACGATCGGGTTCCCCGTGAGGTCGTGTGGTGGGCGTTAAAGATGAAAGGTATGCCTGGGAAGTATGTGAGGTTGGTCCGTGCTATGTACAGAGCATCCCGTACATGTGTACGATCTGCCGCGGGAACTACGGGCAGTATCGATGTGGCGGTAGGGCTGCACCAAGGGTCGGCACTGAGCCCTTACCTCTTCCTACTGATTATGGACGCTTTGACGTCGGACCTGCAGGATGAGGCACCCTGGTGTATGCTCTTTGCCGATGACATCGTGCTTGTCGGGGAAGAAGGCATCGAGGTACAGAGCAGACTGACGGGGTGGCAACGGAGGCTGGAAAGTGTTGGCCTGAAGATCAGCAGATCCAAAACCGAATATCTGTGCTGTGATTTCGGCGGTCTTTCCAGTCCTGTACCCATGTCGTTGGATGGCGCTATACTGCCTATCTGCTCAGATGTCAAGTACCTCGGTTCCCTCATTCAAGGCGACGGCGGAATAGATAGAGCTGTGCAGCATAGGATCAACGCAGGGTGGATGAAATGGCGACAGGTCATAGCCACAACGTGCGATCCCCGAATGCCAATAAGGCTGAAGGGGAAAATTTACAAATCGATCATCCGACCTGTCGTCATGTATGGAAGTGAATGCTGGGCCGTCAAGAAGAAGGATGAAAATAGACTGCATGCGAATGAAATGAGAATGTTACGATGGATGTGTGGTGTGACAAGGATGGATAAGACAAGGAATGAGTATATAAGAGGAAGCCTGAAAGTAGCGCCAGTGGTAGAAAAGGTGAGAGGAAGCAGATTGGCATGGTTTGGGCATGTGATGCGGAGGAATGAAAGTCATGTCACAAAACGAGTGTTGAATATGAATGTGGAGGGACACACGGGCAGAGGAAGGCCGAATAAAAGATGGATCGATTGTGTGAAGAGTGATATGAGAATGAAAGGAGTAAGTATGGAAATGACGGCTGATAGAGAGGAATGGAACAAAAAGATTTACTGCGCCGACCCCAGATAATGGGAAATGGTTTAGAGAATGATGATGAATTTTAATTATTTGCTTTATTCGTTTTCCTGTGATTTTTTTGTTATCATGAGGACAGTATGGAGAAGCCCGATGGCCACGCAACTCCATTATGTATATCCTGTATATTTACTAGATACAGTTCCGAGTGAAGAGTTTGCATGATTTTTATTTATTTCTATATGTTAATTTATTCTGTGTCCGTATTCCCCAAGGTTTTTGATCACTGAAAATCAGCATTGTTGTTTCACCACAAGAAATGCTGAGTGATGTCCTTTTTTGGCATGCCTTTGACGTACAAAGTCAAATTTACTAAATTTATGTAACACATAAGTTATAAATTTGTATATTGTTGTATGCGTCAAGGGTCTGCGTCAGAATAAATTTTCTTTTTGAAGTGAAAACATTGTGAGAATTTTTGTGATTCAAAACTTGACAAAACATAAAAGCGACACTAAAAAGAGACAAACATATACATCTATAGGATTTAGCCTTCAAGAGAATGAGATAGACTACAGTATAATGCATCCTATTATCTCGGTCTCCTTTTCTGAAGTATTCAGTTCTACTGTGTGTGAGGCATGCATGCATGCTCCAATAATCCTTTGAAAAGGCTGAGCTCGTGCCTATGAGTTGCATGGAGGTTTTTTTTAATTCTTTTACTTTATATTTTACAATAACCATATAAACATAATATCTCACTCAAGCAACTCAGGGGGGTAGGCAGACACTAATGAATTCCATTTGGCATGATCCTGACACACCTTTTTCCAATTTGGTCAATAAACCTTTATCTAGGGCATCCTTTGCAGACTCTGCCTCTCACTTCTTCAGCATAAATTTGCTGTGCCACTGTTTACTCATTCATTCTTTCTATTTATCTAAACTGCAGATAGATCTTTGGCAAAGTCTGGAGTCTTAGTTCTGTTCAATATGAGGTTTATTGAAGTTGAAGTTCCATGCGGCAAGGCTTATGCAAGATCTGTCGGTTTGGTTGCCTGTATGCTATCACATCTGTTGAAAACCACGGTTTCATTTTCTGACAACAACGAAATGAGCAGGGAGTTTTTGATTTCTACTTTCTTCAGTCTTGATAAACTGAGTTTCGGGGCTGTGAATTAAAGGACCTCTCCAAAAAAAGTCTGTAATCCTTTTCAAAGAATTAAAAAAAAAATCCTGAACCTTAAGCAAATTGAAGAAAAGAATAGTATTTATGGGCACACCCGATGTATCACCAAGGATTCAAAATATATGTTAGTAACAATTATTGCTTTTATGAATTAAGTACCTGATAGATATTTATAAATAATTAATTAGTAATCATAGATAATAATAATCAATAATAGTTTTATTTTATATTAATATGTAAACAAAAATAACACATCTTAAAATTACTTAGGCTTAAAATTACTTATTAAAACCCAAACCATAGAATCCAATCAAAACTTATGTCAAACTCCTTCTGAAATTGTTTTCTAAAAACAGATTTTCAAATAATTTCAGAATTCATTAAAATAGAATATGAAACCATCAAATTATCCATGTATAGTTTTGTACAACAATTACGTCCATCCTAACATGCCATATGTTATAAGTTATATAATTAAGTAAAACTTAATTACATATCTAATTTAAAAAAAAACTTTTTTGAAACATAAAAATATACATGGACATTACTTTCTAGAAAATTTTGACAAACTAATATTCCAGTACTCAAACAACATACATCTTAACATCACCTCAAATTGATAAAGCCGCAACATATAATAACCCACACAAGCACTTTTTAGCTAAAGAGTGGTGGAAGCATTGAACAAACTGCCTTCAAGTGATATCAGCACAAACCATAAACCAATTTAAAAACAGATTGGATAAACAAAATAGAACAATTATAGATTTGAAACCAAGATACACCCTTATATCAGTTGTTTCAAGCACTGACCTGCTAAATAATAATAATTCTAACATTTTTCATCCAAATATTATGAATATATTTAATTGATAAAATATAGTTCATTATACTATATCTAGTAGATTAAATAAGAAAAGAACTTTCTAGAGCTTATGAACACACCTCACTATCATAGTATGTTAAGGTGTTATGTTATTAAAATTGTTTAAGTTCTCAAATATTGATAATTTAAATAGTTTATATGAACACAAAAAGCATAATATTTTAATCTCCTAATATTTAAAGATTATGGAAATAAGTAATATAAGACATATTAACTTCTTCATCATAAATTCAGTAAAATAATTCAGGTATTTAAAAAAAACAACTTTTAAGAGACACAGCTACAAAAAAAAAGAAATCAATAAAATTGACTATTGTTTATTCATAGATTTTTGAGACCTTTGAAAAAAAAATAGAGAAAACAATATATAATCATTTTTAGTTTGTGAAATGAGTATGAAATAACAAATGTAACTGTAAGATTAGGTAATGCGGTTACTCATTGTAAGAATGTTAACGAAAATATTATTTTACTCTGAAATCGACATGACACCACAAAAATATATTGAGTTTTGTTTTGGTAGAATTTCAACATGATCAATCAAAGGGACATTTAATTTTTTTTGAGATAATCAATTTAGAAAGTCGCTTTCTTACAATTTCGCATGAGTCATGCCTTAAAGTGGCCATTACAAAACATAGTTGTGCAGAAAAACATCCTGATATTGAGGAACACCCATGAATAATAAACTTTCGTGAATATGCATTTATTTTAAATGTAACGAAGTATAATGCGCACTAAGCGTAATTATAGCCCTGTACCATTGATCTTGGCCTGAATACGCAGGCAAAATAAGATAGGAATGTCTGCAAAACGCTGGCGCATAACGTAACTTATAACCTACGAATTGTAGCATGAAATAACTTACTGAGTCTAAATCGGAACATTCGCTGCTGGAATCTGAATCGATCAATGGTTTATTTTTCCTTTTAGCCATTTTTAATCACTACACAGTTTGATTTTTACGTTATGAGATTTTTTTCTAAATGATACAAACTTGCCCGTCAAGCGTCAACCACAACCACTCAAATAGTTTTTTTTTATTTGAGAGTTTGAGTAGTGATGTCAACTCGACTTTCTAGTTCGAGTTAACTTGAGTTGCGCTCAACTCCATTAACTCGAGTGGATACTCACTAATACTGAAAGTGAAGGTAGAATTCGTTCACACAGAATACCAGCGTAAAATAGCAGCTTAATGCTGCTGTGTTTCGTATGGTGCGTGTAGAGAACCGGAGTTCCTTTTTACTGGAAACGAGGCATTCCATCTTAGTCCTCACGGGTGAAAACGCATCTGCATTTTGATTCGTGATCGAGGATAAATGTAGATGTCTATGGGCCACAGCAACCACTTACCATCAGGTGGACTGTGTGCTCGTATGTCACCCTTATCCTATAAAAAAAAAATAGTTAAAAAAAATATTTTTGAGATTGATAGAAAAGTTGTAAAATTATCCGTAGTTGTTGTTTGCAAAATCGCTAAAGTTGATTTGTATTGAATTTAATTTATTTTTAACATGAAATGGTCAAAGCAGCCTTGCTGCCTAGTAAGTAATGTGTGTTCAGCTAATATGCAATGGTCAGCAAACATGTCCAGGTAGTTCATTCTGTTTTTGTATTCATGCAGAGGTTCATTAAGTTTAGGTCGAATATTTATATTGATATCACCTGTTATTATAATGCTACTATGGGAGGAAAGAGTATCTAAATGAGAGTTTGGCGTATTGATAAAATTTGTAGGGTTTGTATTCGATGGCGATCTATGAATACATAACACTGTATTATTCAGTACATAAATCTGTAGACATGAAGCGTGATGTAAAATTACTTCCTTGACTTTGTGTTTTATGCTTTTTTTTTTAAATATACAACTACTCCGTCACTTTGATTTTGAGACAAATAATGCGTAAGAATTACACGCTTTAATTCCTATATCTCCTTTCCACCATCGGACAACCAGGCGGTCGGCGGGTCTTCATCTCTTTGTTATAGATATTCCACGCATTCGAACCAAACAGTTTGCTTCGTCTTTTGTAATGCGTACAGCAAAGGAGTGGAATAATTTGCCGGCGTCTATCTTTCCATCCGGATACAATCTGAGCGTCTTCAAGGCAAGAGTGAATAGGCTTTTGTTACGAAAAGACAGTGCGATTTACCATCTAAGGCTGCATCACCACTTACCACCTGGTGGGATTGTGGTCAAGCACTGGCTTATAATAAGTAAAAAAAAATCTAGGGATAGTGATACTTAAAATTTGCTTGACTGTATGTAAGTTGATACTAAAAAGTGCTGTTCGATTAATTTCATGAATAATTTAAGTAGGTATCTTATGTTGAGAAGGAAGATGTGAAGACATATATATACTGGTGTGGGATGAGTCTTGGGAGCGAGAATTTGTAGGATTTTGTCATGTGTATTTTTACAGACGTAATCATGTATGTTTGAGAGTGTGTCCTAATGAGTGTATGTGTAAATGTGTGGGAAGTGTGTAGTGCTTGGTAAAAGTTTTTAATAATTTTCATAAGTTCTATATGTATAGAGATAGACATCAGATAGCACATTATGGTATAATAGTACATAATGTTAAGCCACATACAAAATGCAAAATACAAAGCATCAAGGTTATATTAGGGATATATTAATATGTACTTATAAATACGTTTTTAGTCGTTTAGTAGTAATAATTTACCCAATACATGCGCTAGCATAGTATTAGTCTGTGCACAACAGGGAGTTGGATGGAAGAGCATATATTTAAATAATTTGTGACAAATTAAAACAGCTTCGTTCGTTCAATTTGAGTTACGTGAATTTCAGCTCGAGTTAACTGGAGTCGAGTTTCTTTCGAGTTGGCACATCTCAAAGTTTGAGAGGTTGCATTCGCATCGCATTTTTCTTTCGAATGTACGCTATTCGGATACTCGCTCAGCAGTTTTGAAAGTGATGACGAAAACAAAAGGTAAATGTTTGTAAATATTTTTTTCTCTAGGTTAAACAAAAAAAAAACCTTTTAAAAGTGCTAAGTTACAGATTCTCTTTATTTAAAAAAAAAAGTCTAACTGGTAAAACAATTCTCAGGTTTAACTTGTCAAACTTTACAGACGAAGTAAATAAATGTCTGGATGAGAAAAAGCATGTATTAATTGCTTTCATTGATTTTAGTAAAGCCTTTGACACCTTAAAACATGACATTCTTCTAAGAAAACTTGAAAACTCTGGTGTTAGAGGACCCTTCCTAAGATGGTGTAAAGACTATGTGAGCAATCGATATTTCCAAGTAAAGATAGAAAACAATTTAAGTATTAAAATGCCTATGACTACAGGCACGGCACAAGGCTCAGTTATAGGGCCACTACATTACTTAACATACGTAAATGAATTAGAGAACATAATTAAAAAATGTAGTTTATACCAGTACGCTGATGATACGTGTCTTCTGTCAGAAGATAAAAATGTGGAAATAGCCATGCAACAGTTACAAGATGATTTTTCACGCCTCTCTATGTGGGCACACGACCTAGGACTTATAATAAATATACAAAAAACCAAGATACTACACATTCACTCAAGTCACATCAGGAACATTAGGCCAATCAGCATTATCGCTCATAATCATCTCTGTCTGCATAATACAATAACTTGTTCATGTGAAAAAATTCCGGTTGTTAAATATCACACATATTTAGGATTGGTCATAGACGATAGGATGAACTGGAAGAATCATATTGATTACGTGTGTAATAAATTAAGAGCAGTCCTAGCGAAATTTCATATTATTCGTAACACAATTCCATTTAAAATTCGTTTAAGCCTTTATAATGCTTTAGTGGAATCGATAGTGTCATATGGTCTTAGTAGCTATGGGCGAACTTTCCGCACTTATCTAGATAAAATATACAGCTTACAAATAAGACTGTTAAAATCTATTTTGCCTCAACATATCAAGGATAAATATCGCAATGACTACTCATACCTTTTCACGTACTGCAATGTTTTACCCATACATAAAAAGGTGAAATATATGCTTCTGAAAGAATGTTATGAGTACTCAATAGACCCAACCCCAAGAGATCGCAATTATAACACCAGAAATACAACACCTTATTCACTAATTAGAACGAATAATTACTACGGTAAAAGAACACGTAAATATCTAATACCATACCTGTTAAATTCTTTACCTACAGAATTAAGAAGCCAACTAACAGCACAAAACATAAAAACAAAACTTAAACGTTTTTTATATAATTAGAATTCTTCAAAAAAAATAAAAAATATTAAATAATAATCATGATAATCTATATTTATCTATGCAAATATATTGCCAAAAACGGACAAATAAACAAAACGTGTAACCAGAGAAAAAAAAAAAAAACTAGTCCTTAAAAATGCATTCCGTGTGTACGCGCGTCATTAATTTGCAGTGTAGTGTATAAGCGAGTCGAACAATCGAAGACAATAATATTCACATTCTTGCTTATTTCTTGTAAACAATATCAAAAACTACCCTCTCCATAAAAAAAAATAGTTTTAGAAATATCTAATATAAAGTTTGTATAAAATTATGTAAGTACAAAAAAAACGCTTAATATTCTCTCACACAATTGTAATATGGTATTTTATATTTAGGTTAAGTAAAGGTTAAGTTCAATATTAAGTAAAATAAAGTATAATGTATAACATATTAGAGCAAACTGTGCAGTGCCAAGACAAACACAATTGTGTTTAATGGCACGAAGAAATTATATGGTAATTAAAACTGTTACATTATTGAAATAAATAAAAAAAAAAAAAAAATTAACTGCTTAGAGATCTTGAGATACTATAGTGATAAACTGTCCCATGGGTTAGTTGTATTTGAAATCTCTCGAGAACTTTCCAATGTAATGCATCGGCATATTGTTAAGAGTTTTATGAACAAAATACAAATCAGACTAGACTGTATCGTCTATGACATTTACCTGTCTTAAATCGTGATTTTGTTTTTCCTGTGTATATATTTATAAAATAAATTGAAAGTACTCTTCAAAGCATAAAAGTATTCTGTGCTTCAAAGGGAATATAATCACTACGAGGCTCAGAAGGGCTAGAATCCAGAGCCGTAAAGCCAGTTTAAAAAAAAATCACTACGTTCTACTAAAAGGCTTATTACATTACACGATTTCTCGGGCCCTGCCCGCAGGGACAGGGTAGTGTAATAAGAAACAGGGAGTCAGGGTCCCTAAACAGGGCGACCGAGTGGTTCCGACCGCCCTGCTTCCCTGCCGCGCTGTGGATCGTGTAGTGTAATAAGAGACAGGGAGGCAGGGAGCTCTGTTGCGTGGCCGCATGCGCAGAGTCTACACGTTTGTTTATTTAAAGTTCTACTATGTCGATCTACTTTCTAAATCATTACTCGTATTTATGTCATGCGCTAAAGAAAAAGATCCTTCTCAATGTCATCGACATCTACAAAGAAATGCCTTATCAAATCTTGATAGGAGTTCCAGTGGCCAAAATCGTAAAGTGACAACCAATCTCTCTTAAAAAGTATTCTTTTGAATATAACTTCTTTTACGGATTCTATCGCGTTTAATATTTTTTTTTATTAATTCCCGACGTTTCGGGTGCTTTACCACCCATGGTCACGGGGGACTGGCTGCTGTAAAGCATCCGAAACGTCGGGAATTAATAAAAAAAATTTAACGCGATATAATCCATACAAGTAGTTTTATTCAATGTGTAGTGTTCGCGTAAATATAAGAAATCATTAAACTATTTTTTTTTCTATTAAAGGCGTTACTAAGCTTAATAACTCGTCGAATTGGTTTTCACCTACTCTTTAAAATAGTTTCGTAGGTCTGTTGGGTCCAAAACGCTGACTATTTGCATATTCGATAGTTTTTCTCTGAGGAGCAAATATTTTTTCATCCACATTTAACTTTCCTTCCTTTCTTTAGCTTGGTATTGCACGTTACCGACAGCCAAAGTTTTTTTTATAGGATAGGGTGACAAACGAGCACACAGTCCACCCGATGGTAAGTGGTTGCTGTGGCCCATGGACACCTACATTTATCCTCGTATGCGAATCAAAATGCAGATGCGTTGTCACCCGTGAGGACTGAGATGGAATGCCTCTTTTCCAGTAAAAAGGGTCTCCGGTTCTCTACACTCACCAAACGAAACACAGCAGTGTTAAACTGCTATTTTACGCTGACATTCTGTGAGAGCGTGGCCATCCGGTTGAGCCGACCCATTCGTTTGATTTTCCATATCATTAAAAAAAACATTTAGTTGCTATTTTACGCTGCTATTCTTTGTAAAAAAACAATAAAGCAATTTTTGACGTTTAGATAAAGTCTGCGCCATAATGCTAGACGTGCAATCATTTCCACGTTCGAGTAACAACTGAGGCAGGAAGCGATTTCTAGCGTAGTGTAATAAGCAGCGCCCTGTCTGGTAGGCAGGGCACACGATGGACAGGGCCCGATAAATCGTGTAATGTAATAAGCCTATAAAGGAGGACCATCTATATAATGAAAAGTGTCCCTAAAAACGTGTCCAATAAGGGTGGCACTGCAGTAGCATAGGATAAATTAAAAAAAAAAAACGCCAAAAGTAATTAGAATAAGATGGAGAAATAAACAAGCGCCGACCAATCCGCTTGGTTTTGCAATATGTAAATTGTTGAGATTTTGTATACTGGCATTTTACTAACTGCTCTAATCATGAAATTTTTTAAATATTAATTTTTTAAATATAAAAAGAAAAATATTTTATTATTTGAATTCAGCTGACTTCACTCCGTTCACAACAGCTATCTTCATATCGTAGTTTTTCAGACGCCAGCGCTATTGTGGTAGGTTTTGGAACCTCTATTTTCAGTAAATAGTAGGACACTTTTTCAACTTTCGCCCCTTATAAGATGGTTCTCCTTGTACTCTACACTCCATACTTTAGTACTCTTACCAGTTACCACAGACTAAATAATAGTACTACGCTCGTACTCTGTGGTTGTGTTTTTATTTATTTTTCGTTTTTCGATGTCACAGATAACTGTATACCTAAGTAGTCTGTGCTGTATACTAGTTAGAGAGATAAATAATTGGAATTCATCGTAACCGAGAAGAAGAGATATAATTGAATTTTTCTCTTCTAAATCATAATATTTGGATACAATTTATAAAATTTCTCATAGAAGTTTGATATATTTATTTAACAATTGTGTAAGAAGTACGAAACAAGAGCATAAATTTTGTAACGGGGTCTCCGTTACTTTGTCAATAAAACCTTATTATGCCTCACGATTTAAAGGAACTTGGTGTAAGGAAAGCGATAATGGTAAGTCGAACGTGTTAATTGTATTATATGGTTCGAAAATGCGTTCAATCAACTGTGAATTGCAACAAGCGTGTCAATGACAAACATTTTAATGTGTTTCTAACGAAAAACATTCTAAATTTAATGTTACAGTCATATTGTGTTCCCAATTAAAGAAAAATTCCAAATTAAATCAAAATTCCCAGTTATTTTTAAAATAATATAATGTACTTTGTAATTGTTTATACTTTATATCATTTATAAAAATAAAGCCTGCTTACCTGCCAAGTCAGCATAGTGGCATTATACATTATAAGAAAACTGCGGATACCTTTGCAAAACAAGCATCGACTTCCAAAGTCAAACAGACTTGTTTTAAGCTCTTATGGACATCTAAATCCACACTAGTTCTCAAATACAAAATCTATGAGATGAACTGCCAAGAAACTGGGGTCTATCAGGACCATAATACATTTTAAAACTTATACCCATGACCTTCGTGATCTTGTAACTGTCGTAGCTCAAGTTAGAATTCCCTTTGGAAATAACTTATTATTATGTAAAAATCCAACTTGCATCTCTGAGCATAGCATATCAGTTTTTTTTAATAGAATAAGGATGGCAAACAAGCTCACAGTCCACCTAGACATTTAAATTTATCCTCAATTAACAATCAAAATGTAAATGCGTAGTCACCCCTGAGGACTGAGATGGAATGCTTTGTTTCCAGTGAAAAGGTCTCCGGTTCTTTATTCTCACAATACAAAATACAGCAGCATTAAGATGTTATTTTATGCTGGTATTCTGTGAGAGTGTGGTCCTACCTGGGTCGAGCCGACCCATTCGTGTTACAACCATAATATAGCTGCAGCGTGGCTCTACCACATTAAAAATATCTTAAAGTTCCGTACAATAGTTGTTGATGAGGAATAAAAATTAAAGAAAATAAACTTTGATTTTGATAATAGGTTACTTCTTGAGGAGAGATAATTTTAAGGTGGTAAGATAACTTGAGAAAGGGTAGGCAAGATTCTCATCCCTCTATTCTTCATAATTCTCTGTGTGTGCTCATTTTAAATAGAAGTGAAACTATGGTTTTCTTCACCTATTTATTAGACAATATAATAACTAGCACGGTAACTGGTGTTTTAAAGGCCACTTTGGGGAGAAGAAAAAATGAGGCCAAGTTTACAAACTACTTCACAAACCTCAGTCAGTTTTTCTACAACGGAAATTGTAATTAAATTAGACAACACTCCGAAAAAACGAAAACTAAAGCTACATAAATAGCTACATAATACTCTTGTTAAAATATGATGACCTATTGAAGAACATACATACATACATAAACACTCACGCCTGTCACCCAGAGGGGTAGGCAGAGATTATGGACTTCCATTTGGCACGATCCTGACACACCTCTCTCGCTTCCTCCACATCCATATACCTACGCATACACGCTCGTCGGTTAAAGGTACTCTTGATATGGCCCATTTTTAATATATCGCCAATTTGGTCGATAAACTTTCGCCTAGGGCGACCCTTCCCGACTATGCCATTCACCTATTGAAGATTTAAAATGAATATATTATATTTATTGTGTATAGTTTTTTCACATTGCTCTAACATGCCGCTGTGACGTCTCTGCACTCAGGTTTCAAGTTATTATACTACCATTACAGCCTATAAAAGTCCACTGCTGAACATGACCCCCCTCATAAATTGCCTCATGGGAAGAATTTTGAAGTAGTTGCTGCCTTGGCAGGCAGTTTGGCAACTGCAGTTTTGTTATCAGGAAGATGCTGCTGCCCATGTCTTGTATCAGTTTCCTTTTGTCACCTTTTAAGACACCCACGGGACTCTATGGGGTAGTGGATATTCTTACACCGCCACTATATGGTTTGTTATATTGTGCATGGGTAATAAGTTCTAATTATAAATTTTCCTAAATCCAAATTATTACAAACTTATAATTTCTTTGCAGGCTCCCTTGTCCCCAACTCCATGTGCAGAGATTAGTGATGATGAGCTGGTGTCTATCTCTGTGAGAGATCTTAACAGACAACTAAAAATGAGAGGGTTGACGAGAGACCAGATTGTAAGGTACTACTTTACTTGTTGTGAAATGTAACTGCATTTTTAGTGTTCTTTGTAAAATTTGCAAAATGTAGCTCTTATGGAATTGCTTTGGTGTTTTGTTTTGCATTTTCCCAGTCATTGCATTCCACTAACATTTTTCTCATAGTTTGTTTCACAAAGATGTTTGAAATTTGATATTTAATATTAGAGTTAAGTACTTGTAGGTTTGTTTAGTTTGGGTGGTAAAATAAGAAATTAAAATAGTATTTTTAAGAGATCAAGAATGTCCCTTAAAAGGTCTTAAATAAATATTTAAAAAATGTGCAGTTATTTGTGGTGAAATAATTGCTTCCCAGCCATCTTCGAAATAAGTAGAGGCCTGTGCCCTATATTGGGACATATAAGGACTGTAAATTTAATAAAAACTAAATTAATGTATATTATAAATTAATATTGACGTGGCGGGGCCATGCTGCAGCTATATTAGTAGTATAGTTGTAGCACAAATGGGTTGGGTCGACCGGGGAAGGACCACACTCACAGAATAGCAGCGTAAAATAGCAGCTTAACACTGCTGTGTTTCATATGGTGAGTGTAGAGAACCGGAGACCCTTTTTAATGGAAAGAGGCATTCTATCTTAGGTCTCACAGGTGACAACACATCTGCACTTTGTTTCTTTATTGACGATATATGTAGATGTCTATGGGTTACAGCAACCACTTACCATCAGGTGGACGACTGTGTGCTCATTGCACCCACACAAGCACTTTTTTAGCCAAAGAGTGGTTGAAGCATGGAACAAGCTGCCATCAGAAGTGATATCTGCACAAACTATTAACTGATTCAAGAACAAATTAGATAATCAACTAAAAGAGAATAATTACACATTTCCAAATAGGATACGGGCTTATATCAGTTATTTCAACTGCTGGCCTATTAAGTAATAATAATAATAACAATATTTCAGAATGAAACAAAGACGAAGGACACTCAAGAATCGGGGATATGCAGCCTCGTGTCGTATCAAACGGATAGAGCAAAAGGATGAGCTGGAAACGGAAAAAAGTCAGGTAAATAACACTATAATTATGCCGACTAGTGACGGCGTAAGAGAATCCACTACAACAAGTTTATTAAATTAAAAAAAAATGACACATTCAAGCAAGCCCTCAAATACCATCCTCCCTATAATGGGAGAAGACTGTATTCAGTAGTAGAGTTTTACAAGTTAATAATGTAATAATAAAAGCCAGCCAAGTGTGGGTCGGACTCGCGCATGAAGGGTTTTCCTACTATCGTAAAACATGTCTCTAGTATGGAATCCCCCTTTTATTTTTATTTATTTTTATTTATATTATTTGTTGTACAAGTGGTAACAGAAATACACATTCAGTGAAAATTTTAACTGTCTATACGGATCATGAGATACAGCCCGCTGCCAGACAGACGACAGTGGAGGCTTAGTAAAAGGGTCCTGTTGGTTACCCTTTAGGTACGGAACCCTAAAAAAAGATAAGAAGAAGATTTTTTTTTATATTGTCTTATAAGAGCGATATATACACTATACTTACTTCATGATCACGACAGACTGGTTGGCAACAGTAGTTTTTTTTTATATCTAGCTGTTATTAGGAAGACGCTGCTGCCCATCTCCTGGTTCGTTTCCTTCTGTCTCAGGACACCAACAAGACAATATGTGGTGGTGGATATTCTTACACATGGTCACTACATGTAAAATAAACCTGTGAAATTCTCCACCAAAAGTGTATGTCAATTGTCTTGTGCTGAATATCATATTTAACACTTATAAAGGTGTACCTCTAGTTAAAAGTCAGGATGTTTGTCAAAGCTGGTGGCTGGTCCTATTAGTAGAGTACGTACCATTTCCATAACACTACAGTCTATCAAGTCCACTTTTCACACACATTTGTTCATTTGTTCTCAATTTGCTATAGCTGCCAAGCAAGCGTGAGAACTAAGATGCCTTGTTTCCAGTAAAATATGTCTCCAGTTCCTTACACTCACCATACGAAACACAGCTGTGTTAAGCTGCTATTTTACGCTGGTATTCTGTGAGAGTGTGGTTCATCCCCGCTACAACTGTATAGTATACTACTAATGTAGCAGCATGTCTCTACCACGTATAAAAAGCTGCAGTTTGTTTTTTATTCAGCTGTTATCAGAAACATGCTGCTGACCGTCTTCTGGTTCAACTTCCCTCTGTCTTTTACGACACCCACGGAACATTACGAGGTCGTGGATATTCTTACACTGCCATTAGACTATGTAACACAGTGTTTATTCTCTCTACTATGCTTTTTCAGGAATGGCACGACATGGAGGCTATGCAAGAGGAAAATACTAGAATTCGCGAGGAAATAGAAGCACTAAGAAGCAAGTATGATGCCTTGAAGAGGTTTGCCGTGATGAAAAGCATTCCCCTGCCATCTGAATTCGAAATTTTACCATAAATTAATAGGTTATATTGTATTGTGGTTGGGTTGGTGCATCTGTTAGTGATGTAACTTTTGAACAATTAGACTGATTGAGGTCGTATTAACACTATATATTTGTTCAATTGTTCATAGCTATGCTAGGATCCGAAAGATGGCTCTATACTCAAGTTGTAAACAAATTCTATATTTGTGTACCAAAATAACTCATATTGACAAGTGTACCAGCGTAAAGTAGCAGCTCAATGCTGCTGTGCTTCATATGGTGAGTGTAGAGAATCGAAGACCCTTTTTACAGGAAATGAGGCACTACAATTCTCAGGGTCAGGCTCATGAGAAATTCTCAGGGGTGAGGACGCATCTGGATTTTGATTATCAACCGAGGATAGATGTAGATTGTAGATGTCTATGGGCCACAGCATCCACATACAATCAGGTGGGCTGTTTGCTCGTTTGTAACACTTATTCTATAAAAAAATATTGACAATATATTATTTTGGTATAGTGTCAATAAACGAAATTACGAAATCTGGACACGATAGGTGGCGCTGTGTTCGAGCTATCACTAAATTTTATTTTTACACTGTAAAAACTGTGTTTGTTTATCTTTTATATATGGTTTGAGGTTAAGGTATATATTGCTATGGGCCAATGTTTTAAGTCCTTGATGCCTGAAGTAAAGTTATTGTATTGTATTATTCATATAGTTTTGTAAAAAAGTGCAGAGGCAATTTGTAGTGAAATTTATCGCGCTATCTATTGTTAAAGGGCAGAACACTACATTACGTCTGCCGGGCCAGATGCTATTTTGTATTATAGTAGTAGTGTTAAAATGGAATGCAAGTAGAATCATTAACTAAGGTCTGGTCGGCGAGAGTTGGTAAAAAGCAGGGTTTCTAAACTCATTACAAATTGCGGCCCGCTAATTATTTTTGCTGATAGCTCAACCCAACAAAGTATGATAGACAGAGAGCTGCGTACATTTCAAGTGACTCCATAACCGTCCTCAACTTCTTGGCAACTCACACACACACATCTTTCTTCTTTTTTTAAATTAAAGAGCCTGTAAAAATTCACTGCTGGACGCACACTACTAAAACTTTGTTAGTTGCAAATAATTTTAGACGCATATGTGTACGTGACTGCGTGTTCCTACAATAAGTTGAGCATGGTTTTTACATCACTTGAAATGTGTACGCAGTGCTCTATTTCTTCTTTGTTGATCTGAGGCTGATAAACGGATATTAAAAAAGTCGCCGCGCGCTTGACAACAGCTGCGAGAAAACTAAGGCCTGTTCATGAAGAGTTGTTTAAAAAAATCAGGGTTTCTAAACTCATTATAAATTGCGGCCCGCTCATTATTTTTGTTCTCGTCCGGCGGCCCCGCGTTTAACAACAGCTGCGAGCCCCGTACCATAATACTGTGCTTGCGAGGATAAGCGACTCCTGTCACACAGATTGCGATAGTTAAGCGACAGTCGCTTATACGAGGCGTTTTCAATACCGATTCATAAAATAAAATCGATCGAATTTTTAATATCGACTTTCGCTTAATAGACTTGGCATATTGTAACACGGTAAATCAGACTATGGCACAACATACTTAGGTTTACTCTCTTTGCCTTAGATTTTAAGATGTATATTTTAATAAATTAGGTTTTTAAGGCGGTGTCCGATGTAATTGTATATATATTAGATATTTAAATAAAGTAATATAAGTAAAAATGTTTTTATATTTTTATAAAATCTACCTTTCTTTCATTCATTGCGGACAATCAAAAGGCAACTGCTGAACATAGGCCTCTCATAGATTGCCTCCTATTTTTGTGTTAGTTGCCACGCTTGGCAGGGATGGCAACAGCGAGTTGTTGAGCTGTTTCTTTAACCTTTGTCGCCACTTATGATACGCACTTGATATATGTATAATGTACTCTGTGATATGGGGTAGTGGGTTCGGTTGTGCCTCTTAAAAGTCACGAAGGTGACGTCCGATGTATTGTATATTAACGAATTATGTAGATATTTTAAAGAAAATATAAGTTAAAAAAAGTGCGTGTTGCCAGTGATGACTTATGGAACTGAGACGTGGTCCTTCACTGCTGGCCGTATGAGGAAGCTCAAGGTCGCTCAGCGAGCTATGGAGAGGGCTATGCTCGGAGTTTCTCTGCGTGATAAACTTAGGAATGAGGATATCTGCAGTAGAACCAGAGTAACCGACATAGCCCAACGGATTAGTAAGCTGAAGTGGCAGTGGGCCGGCCATATAGCTCGAAGAACCGACAACCGATGGGGAAGAAAGGTTCTCGAGTGGCAGCCTCGTACCGGTAGGCGAAGTGTAGGGCGTCCCCCCACGAGATGGAGTGACGACCTGGTAAGACATGCAGGAAGTCGATGGATGCAGGTGGCTCAGGACCGTGCTTTGTGGCATTCTTTGGGGGAGGCCTATGTTCAGCAGTGGACTTGTGAAGGGCTGTAATGATGATGATGATGATGATAAGTTAAAAAAATGTTTTTATCAAATCATGCCTTCTTATCCTGTTATTGCATTCCTCATGCCTCCTCTACACTCTTCGCGAAGTAGATCGAAGTTGGACGAGGCGAATAGTGTAGAGAGGTACTTCGATTCGCTTCGTGCAACCTCACTTCGCCTCGGGCGACTTCCGATCGATGTCGGTTTTTTGAGCCAGAGTCAAAGGACTTCGCGAAGTTACACGAAGCGTCTCACTACACTACTCTGCGTACGCCAGTTATGAATATTTTTTTATACAATGTGTCCGGTTTCCGATGTCCGATACTTTAAGGGGTTAAAATACAATTAATTTTATAGACAAATCAGGAATCAATGATTTTTTTTCGCCATCAATAAAAAAATGGCAGCACTTTAAAAAAAATTGTTGGCGAAGCATAGATGCTTGTATTAATTTAACAATATCTACCCAAGTAGAATACTTTCAAAAACAAAATTGGTCTCAAATGTTAGTTAATAGTGTAGACAATAAATCTAGATTCAAAATATATTTTTTTAATTTTTCAGTATTAGTAAAAAACATTTTTGAAAAAATAAATTAGACAACAAATTGATGTTGTTTTTCAGATTCTTAGCTTTAAAAAAAAACCATCGTGTTAACCAATTTTTTTTTAACTTGTTTTTATTATAATACAGGATATTTGCTATAAATGCACATTTAAATCTTAACTCTGAGTTAGATAGTTTAGGAGCTATGATAATTTGAATGTAACTGTTCAAAGTGCCTCTATCCCGATATTAGATAACTAAACACCCATTCCAGTGAGTAAGATAAAATTCTTCAATAATTCAAGGAATCGTAAGCAAGCACAATAGCATCCTTTGTGTGAGCAGGTAAAAAACGCTGTGCACAACAGTGCGAGCGAGACAGAATAACGGCTGTCTCCAGGTAAAAAGGGTGCAGTGTGCGCTTGTGCCGTCGAGCAGTCGTCCCTCGCTCTGCGTTGTGATAACATTCCTGGTTTTAAGTAAATCTACTTACTGTACATAATTATTGTTTGTTGTTAGACTTTGTTACGTTTTTGTTTTGTTGTTGAACTGTTACTTTTTGTTTATTACAATGAACGAGTACTCAAGCCAGCATATCGCTGACATCCATTTCGTGTATGGATTGTGTAACGGGAGTGCAAATAGAGCTGTTGTAGAGTATGCACGCAGATTTCCTAACAGACGTACGCCGAATGCTCGCACTTTCGTGAGAATTCATTAGAGACTTGCGGAAAATGGAATAAGAAGGCTCGGTAACGAACGTACTCGTGTTTTGTCGCTCCAAGATGAACATCAAATATTGCAAATGATTACTCAAGACTCTAGCCTGAGCATTAGACGCATAGCTAATCGTCTCAGTCTATCAAAATGGTCGGTGTGGAAAATTTAAAAAAGAGAAGGATTACATCCTTACCATTTTCGAAGGGTGCAAGAAATACTGGAACCGGATTATGTAAGAAGAGCAATATTTTGTTCGTGGATATTGAGAGAAACGCGATATGATCCAAACTTTTTAAAAAGAATTATGTGGACAGACGAAGCTACTTTCACGCGATCAGGGTATACGAACTACCGTAACGAACACCTGTGGCTTCAAGAAAATCCACATGCGATCCGCCCAAGTTCTTTTCAACATAAATTTTCTGTCAACGTTTGGGCCGGAATGATTGACGACATTCTAATTGGACCAATCATTTTACCGGAGACAATGAATAGCCCAAGATTCCTAAATTTCCTGGAAACGAATTTTTTGGATGCTTTATTGGAGTTACCATTGGCCTACAGGTCCAGAATGATTCTGCAATTGGATGGTGCTCCGGCACACTTCGCGCTTCTTGTGCGGAATCATTTAAATGCACACTATTCGTCGTGGATCGGACGCGGAGGAACAATTGCTTGGCCACCGCGGTCGCCGGATTTAACACCTCTCGATTTTTTTTTGTGGGGCACACTCAAACGAAGATTGTATGTAAATGTGCCAAATACACGAGAGGAGTTAGCAGAAAAAATAATTCAAGCAGCAAACGAATTGCGAGAAGACAAGGCAATGATCCAGCGCTCTACGCAACACGTTGCACTAAGAGCAACAGCATGTCTGCAGAGACAAGGAGGTCACTTTGAGCAGTTTTTGTAATTATTTTGCTAAATTAAATGCAATTGATATAAATTATTTTGTTTTATTTCATTTGCTAGTGTATCCGCGCTTTTCAAGTAAGTATGTTTACACTGTCATAGCTCCTAAACTATCTAACTCAGAGTTAAGATTTAAATGTGCATTTATAGCAAATATCCTGTAATATAATAAAAACAAGTAAAAAAAAATTGGTTAACACGATGGTTTTTTTTTAAAGCTAAGAATCTGAAAAACAACATCAATTTGTTGTCTAATTTATTTTTTCAAAAATGTTTTTTACTAATACTTTAAAATTAAAAAATAATATTTTGAATCTAGATTTATTGTCTACACTATTAACTAACATTTGAGACCAATTTTGTTTTTGAA